GTATGCTAAACCGTTAAAGTGTGATTTCTAGCTTTCTGAGATACAATTTCTGGGCCATGTCATTTCATCTGAAGGAGTGGCAATGGACCCGAGTAAGATTGAAGCAGTGTTAGATTAGGAGCGTCCTAAAAATATTACAGAAATCAGGAGTTTTCTTGGTTCCAAGAATGTGAAGTGAGTTTTCAGGAGTTAAAAAGGAAGTTGACTACAGCTCCGGTATTGATATTGCTGGATCGTACCAGTAAATTTGTGGTGTATTGTGATGCTTCTAAGTTTGGGTTAGGCTGTGTTTTAATGCAGTTTCGTCAGGTGGTTGCTTATGCTTCTCGGCAGTTAAAGCCGCATGAGGAGAACTATCCGACACACGATCTTGAGTTGGCAGCCGTAGTGTTCGTATTGAGAATCTGGCGACACTTTCTATACGGGGGCCGATTTCATTGTCTACAATGACCACAAAAGTTTGAAGTATCTGTTTGATCAGAAAGAGCTGAATATGAGACAACGTCGAGGGGTGGAATTCCTGAAGGATTATTATTTTGAATTGCAATATCACCCCGGTAAGGCTAATGTAGTAGCAGATTCTTTAAGCAGAAAGGCGCTTGGTATGGCCAATTTGATGATTTCTGAGTATAATTTGATTGAGAAATTCAGGGATCTCTACATTCCTGTGAATACCGAGGATAGTCCGCATTTATTGACTACTATGGTAGTCCAGAACTCATTAGTTGAGCGGATCAAAGAAGCTCAATTGCTTGATGAAGAGATTCAGTCCATGAAAGAACAGGACTTTGTGTCCACTGATAGGTTCGGTCTTAAATTTTACAAAGATCGGATCATTGTTCCGAAGGGTCAAATGGTGCATGAGGTGTTAACTGAGGTCCGTATGGGTAAGTACATTATCCATCCTATTGCTACCAAGATGTATCAGGCCATGAAATCAAATTTCTGGTGGTCTGGTATGAAGAAAGATATTGTTCAGTTTATGAATAAGTGTTTGATATGTTGTATATGTGCATTCATTCACATTCATATAAATATTATATGATTTTTGATGTAATGATGATATATGTTATGAGAATCCTGGTCAGTGACCTTGGTATGTTGACTGCCTATGGCTTTGACCCTGGGAGTTATTTTCATACTCCAGTTTGAGTACAGTTTGTGTTGATTGCCTATGGCTTGACCCTGGGAGTCACACTAGACATGTGAGACATGTCAGTTAGCTATTCTTGGGGAGAGCCCTTGAATAGTTAACCAGAGTATTAGTTATGATGTGATGTTTTGCATTTAGCATGTATCAAGGATATTCCTTGTGTAATTCATAGAGTGCAGTTTCCCTGGTCATTAAAATTTGTAAATTGTATTATCAGTGTAAGGGTTGATGTACAATGAAATTGTAAATTATATTATTAGTAGAATTTGTAAATTGTATTATCAGTGTAAGGACTGGTGTACAATGAAATTGTAAATTGTATTATCAGTGCAAGGACTGATGTACAATAAATTGTAAATTATATTATCAGTAGAAAGACTGATACATTGATGTTTCAGTGGAATTATATTTTCAGTAAGAAGATGGATGTAATAAGTAAGTCCATTATATGCTAAACAAGTCATGTTTAGACCAAAAATGATAAGTTTAGAAATTTTACGATTTTGCGTGCAAACAGTGCACAGTTTGTAATTCACAGGGCACTTCGTTAAAAACAGTGCAGAAACCCAACTGTGAATTGTTATTACTGTTCCTTAGGGAATAAAAGTGAACTTAAATGAGCTCAGAGAAATAAAATGACGAATATAAGTTTGAGAATGAGAAGTCCTCTGGATTGCTGCAGCCCATGAATATTCCGGAATCGAAATGGGTCAGTATTTTTATGGATTTTGTAGTAGCATTGCCGAGAACTCATGTTGGTTTTGATTTTATATGAGTTGTGATAGACAGATTGATTAAGTCTGCGCATTTCATTCCAGTCAAGATGAGTTTCTCTACTGAGCAGTTGGCTCGATTATATGTAAAAGAGATTGTTTATTAGTTTGTCTCCGACTACAGGTTTAGGGAATTTTATGAAGGGAATCATGTGTTTATTAGTTTGTCTCCGACTACAGGTTTAGGGGTGCTCTAGGTGTGAGGAAGTTAAGTCCTAGGTTCATAAGGCCCCACCAGATAATAAAGAGGGTCGGACCTATGGCGTATCAGCTTGCCTTACCTCCACATTTGTCTAATTTCCATGATGTTTTTTTTCGCATCAGTCAACTTTGTAGATATGTATCTGATGTGTCCCACATTGTCCAGCAGGACGATAATGAGGTAAAGTAAGATTTGAAGTTTGTTGTGGGACCACTGAAAGTTCTGGTTCGCGATGAGAAAGTATTGAGGAACATGGTTATTCTTCTGGTTAAGATACAATGAGAAAGTTTGACTTCTGAGGACGCTACTAGAGAGCGAGAGAATGATATTCTCCAGCGTTATCCTGAGTTTGACGTCATGTATGTGTTATGTCTTATGTTTGATTTTGTGGGCAAAATCCTTAAAAGGTGGGGTGAATATAATAGCCCTCACTAGTAGTTATGGATTTAATATTGAAGGATAAGTATAAAGAAAAAGAAATAAGTCACCTTTGGTGAAAAAAAGAGTTAAAATGACAGTAAAGTAGTAAAAATGCGGGTAAATAAAGTTATCCAAAAAGTGAAAGTAAATATAAAAAAGTGACTAGAAAAATATTCTAGTCCATAGGGTAAAGTTTGGTAATGAATGGAGGTGTGTAGATAGATAAGCTTATACCCACTGATAAAGTAAACTCATTAATTGACTCAATTAAGTCACTATTCTCCTTCTTCTACGTTTCATCCGACGACAGTAAGGGAAAGAAAGAACGGAGATTTTGGTTTTAAATCTTCCAAAATTCATAACTTGAGCTAGAGACCTCCAAATCACTCCGTTCCAAAGCCAAACCTGTGAGAAATTTCGAGAGGAACCTATTGGTACCAATATTTCTGGGTGGGGTTCACTGTAGAGAGAGATCTTCTCCCCCAAAGATTTCGAATTTCATGGAAAAGATAGATTTTGATGGAGCTTGAGGCCATGGGAGCTTAGGAACTCATCTCTCCTTTGTTCTAGAGTGCATTGTGGTAAGAAATTCCCTTCCTTTTCATGTTTTTATGAAGATTGAATTTAGGTTTTCATTTTGAAAATTTGTTTTGATTGAGCATGTTAGAGCTTGATTCAAGTTTAGCTCATGTTGAGAAAAATGTTTAGATGAGAATTTTAACGGTGAAAATGTATTTGAAAAAAATTAAAGATAACGTATTTTTGAATAGTGTCGTATACGTGAATAATGACGTATACATGAATAGTACTGTAGAGAGGAACAGTACTGTATATATATGAATTAATGAATCTTGGATTAAAGGTGTGTGATAAGCTTGAATTTGATGGACTAAAGCATTGGAATCATGAAGTTGGCATGATTTCTTGTATGTGCCTCTTAGCCATTTTCAAAGGAAGTATGTGCTATGAGCTACTGTTTTACAAAGCGAGCATAATTTTATGCGTGGAATAATATTTTAAGGTGTATAGACCTTCGCTTTGGTGAAATAAAAAAGAAAATAAGGTAGCTCCTTTGTATGGCCTTAAAATGAGTTTTGGCCATTTTCAAAGGAAGTATATTTGCGGAGATATTGTTTCGCAAAGTAAGAACACTTATATGTGTAAAATAATTTATATAGGTGGCTAAGCTTGGGTTTAGGCACTAGACAAAGAGAAATCTTATAGCTCCTTTGTAATGGGCATTCTGCCTTAAATTGGGAAAAATAGGCTTTTAGGTGGTAAGAGGAGTAATGAGTGTTCTAAAGGCCTTTTGGGACTATCCTAAGACTAAGTGAACATGTGGAATTTTGTAGGGATTTGTTGAACAAAGAACCACCCACTCATGACTTAATATGATTAAGTAAAAAGAAAATAAACAATAAAGTATGTGTCTTGTATATTTACATGGCATTATATCATTTTATTGAGTTTTGTGTTGAATTCCTTCTCTAGGTGTGCCTAGAGACTGTGAACGTTTGGATTCTCGTGGAGCAAGATAAATAGCTTGTTCTTCAAGTAAGCAAATTGTAAAGCTCCAAGAGGTAAGCTCTATGTTTATGGGGTTTGCTCCTACTTTGTGTTCCGCCATAGTGTACGGACTGTGGTCAGGTTGTATGATATGTATGAGATATATGATATAGATGCATTCATATAGAGCTATATGATAATATGATATGTTTTGTTTTGATGTATTTACTTTGATATGTGTTAATATGATATGTTTTGTTATGATATGACTTCTGTAATATGATTTCTGTAACAATATCTGGCCATTGATTCTATAGTACCCGGATGTTCGCTTTGGGGTCCTCCCTCGGGACTGATGGTGTAAGCCTCTGATATGTTCTGGTTCCGCTTTGGGGTCCTCCCTCGGGAACACGTGTGTTGATTTCCGCTTGGGGTCCTCCCTTGGGAATGACTGCGTACGCCTCTGATAGGTTCTGGTTCCGCTTTGGGGTCCTCCCTCGGGAACACGTGCGTTGATTTCCGCTTGGGGTCCTCCCTTGGGAATGACTGCGTACGCCTCTGATATGTTCTGGTTCCGCTTTGGGGTCCTCCCTCGGGAACACGTGCGTTGATTTCCGCTTGGGGTCCTCCCTTCGGAATGACTGCGTACGCCTCTGATATGTTCTGGTTCCGCTTGGGGTCCTCCCTTGGGAACACGTGCGTTGATTTCCGCTTGGGGTCCTCCCTTGGGAATAACTGCGTACGTTTCTGATAAGATATGTGTATATGTTTTGTTTAGTTATGATATTTGATTACATGACATGTTTTATGGGATATGTATGATGATTTTGTAAATGATATTTGTTACGTACGTTGATTTCCGCTTGGGGTCATCCCTTGGGAACGATTGCGTACGTCTCTGATATAACACGTTTGTTCTGATATGAGTATTGTGATGATTTTTGTAAAAGATATTTGTTACGTGCATTGATTTTCGCTTGGGGTCATCCATTGGGAATGATTGCGTTTGTCTTTGATAAGATATGTATATATGCTTTGTTCAGTTATGATAATTGCTTATATGATGTTTTGTATATTATGTATCTGACTGTCATGCAGGAAGTGAGCCCAGGGTATGGAGGGTTTTCCATAAACCTGGAGTTTACTAGAGATTCGTCTCTAACCCCGTTTGGGGATATGATTTCAGGAACACAGTTAATTGAAGAGCCTCATGGGACCAGGACACTAACCGTGGCTAGAGGTACTAGTATGAGAATGTGGAGTTCTGGGTGGTCGGATGCTACTATTTGTTTTAGACGTATTTTTGGAAAAGATGTATTGTTGCATAGTGTTCATATTCGATACATGTACATTTATGTATTCAGGCATGATGATATGACTATGTAGTATTCAGTTATGTTATGTATTGGATTGCATGCTATTAGATTTGTGGCACGGAGCCAAGTTCAGCATGCGCCCATAGATGGGTATCTGAGTATATTTGCATGACTGGTACTTCTGGAAATATATATTGTTTAAACTGTCTATCAGGAACTCTTGAGAGTGGGATTGGAAAATCCCCAGTTGTCCGATTTACAGAGGTTACTTTGTTCGATTTTCGTCTCCGTAAAATAAGAATTAAATTAGAAGAAGTATGCAATGTGATATGTCATGTGAAAAAGGATTAAAGAAAAAGAAAATTTAGTTCGTATTTTCGTAAGTTAAGTCTTCCGCTGTTTCTGTTAAGTATCATATGCATGTTAATTGAACCGGCTCGAGGTTGGGGATGTTACAATCCTACCACTGCCAAAGGAAATTAATAAAAAGCTATTATAAGTGATCCAGTACTTGCGTGTCATGAGATTATATAGATTCAAACCTAATATTATTATTGTATTATAAAAAAAATAGTAGAATAATGATTAGCTCTCCTTAGGTGCAATTTGTGAAAGAGTTCTGAAGGATAGATAAGGAACGGAGAACAGGGAATAGACAAGGAATGTGAAAGGAAACTTGGCATGTTAGCATAATAACTTATGAGTAAGGATATTCTTACAACCAAATTTTTTTACTACTAACTTACTACTTATTTAATCACCATTGAATCAACAAAAAAAGAGAATGCTAAAAATTTTTTAAAGAAAGAAAAAATGTTGATCCAATGATGATTAGTTAGGTAATGAGTTGGTAATAGAAGATTTTGATAGTAAGAATATCCCTCATCGTAACTTATAGTTCCATTAGTATTTAGTATCTTTTTTTTATATAATTGAATTTTTTGAAAAATAGAAACTTATAGTTAATAAAGTTCTTTTAATTTTCTCGAACTGGTCCGAAATCAAGCGGGCACTTGCATTGCTGGATTCAGGATGGACCAAGGCCATTTGCACATTTCCCTCTCAATCTAAATTTAGTTGGGGCACTACCACTAAAGCGAGAAGGCAAGAGCCCAGTCTTTTAATTCACGTAAAGCCCAAAATTTGACCCAGTAGGAGTCAAATTTCCCAAATTCCACTCTATTTGACACTGTCATCGCCACTCGCAAGAGAAGCTAGACTATTAATTAGTGTCTTATAAAATAATAATCATGTTTGGAGAATAGTATTTATGTGCAAACTCTTATAAACTATACTATGTACTTTCAAAAATATATAAGATTACACCATATACTTTCGTTTCGGGAATACATTAATTTACAAAAATTTATTAAAAAAATATATAAACAGAGCCTTCCCTTAATACATATATCTCCTGGAGGGGCTAGCTCATACAAATTCTTTTTACTTCATGTGGATAATGTGCTAGCACTGACCTCACTTGAAAATTTAAGAGGCAGTTGAACTTTCTATTACAAACTCAATAAAGCTTTGTAGTAATTTGTATGTAACTGCAAACATAAAATTCTCTCGTTGGTATTTTACTTGTAGTATTTCTCAACTTATGATACGCTTTCCACTTGATAGTAATCATCGTAGCAGAGCAGATTAAGTTGCACATGTGCATGATAAGTTTAATTGTCCGTGCCTTGTTTTACATTTTACAGTGGCCCTGATTTGTCTCATCCACTTTACATTTATACATGCAAGGTAGAGGAACAAATTTTCCTTGTATTAATTATTGTCTCAACTCTCAATTGTTTTGTAAAAGGAAAATTGTATGTATGTGCCAACAATTTCTAAGCCTTATCTAAATGTTTATGGTCCATGGTATTAGTTGCCTGTTCAATATGAAGCGAACATGATGTCTCAAATGTGCATAGAACACTATACGTCAGCTATTAAATTCTTTAGACAAGCATTAGGTTTAGATGTTATAGATTTCTCTTTTTCTCTTTAAAACAATGGGCAACCAGCCTCACTTAATTTCTTCATCTTTCATCCTAGACAGTATCATGTGCTCCTTCACGCCTATGTTTCTCACTAGACCCCATTTGGATAGCTCTTCATCAATTATTTTTGTACCTAAATGGTTTTCCAAAGCCTTCTCTTTATCTATACATAGACATAGTCATGGTTGCAGTCACAAACAAGTCAAGTCCTTTTGCATATTTGAAGCACCAACGTAACTACTTCTTAAACAAGTCTTTTCAAATAATTATCTTGATCTGCAATGGGTTTCAGTTTTCCTGGTCTTCAAAGGCGCACTCATGTCCCAAAGGGCCATCTTGCAGTTTATGTTGGAGAAAACCAAAAGAAGCGGTTTGTGATTCCTATATCATACTTGAACCATCCTTCAATACAAGACCTACTGAGTCAAGTTGAACAAGAATTTGGATTTGATCATCCAATGGGTGGCCTCACAATCCCTTGTAGAGAAGATGTCTTCCTAGAAATTACTTCTCGCTTGCATAGGTCATAAAGGAGAAGATTGAAACGTAGATGGTCAATGACCAATTCAATTTTGTACAAAAGAAGACACAGTCGAACATTGTGAATTTTTGTTTCTTTATTCCCTATCCTTTCCAGAGAATTGGAAAGATGTAACCAGACAGAAACTTACAAACAGATTATTGCAACTTTTGACTATAATTTAGTTCGATTTATTTTTTAAACTTTCTCATGAACCTTTATTTCAAGTTATTAGGTGGTCTACTTTCTTTGGTAGACTAAAATATACTTGCAAGATCATATTTTCACTAGTCCTGTGTTGATGATCTGTATGTGGTGCTAATGCTTCCTTCTTTATATTGCTTATGTCCAAAAGACAGCAGCCGACCTTTCTTTTTCTTAGTTTTTTTTTTAATACATATTCAGATTCATGATCAAAACCCAACTTTTTGGCATGATGAGTTCGGATACATTGTTAATAATTTGGGTGATGGTCCTAATGAGAGATTCATAAATCTAAATCCTTTTCTAAACCTTTGTATTGCATATGTTTAGCGGAAAAATACGTGTCGTTTTAAATGATGTAAAGTTATGTCATTTCAAGTGAGAGAAAGAAATAGATTATGGAGAGAGAATAGACAAAAAAAAGTATAGGTCCTACCTCTTTGTGAGAGTGAAATGACAAATGACACAAATTGTGTAATTTAAGAAGACAAATACTTTTCCTATATTTGTATAGTAACTTTTTTTTTTCTCGTAGTTATATAGTAACTTTTATGGGTTATATTACTCTTATGTTACAGGAGATATATTATCTCATGTTGTAGATACATTCATGTAGTGGATCCCTTTTATTTATTAAAAAAAAAAAAAGCACAGAAATCGATGGGTGTGTAGGAAGTTATATTATCTCATGTAACATGAGAGTAATATAACCCATATATAGCTTTACTTCTCTCATGTAGCATGAGAGAAGTTATCTTATGTTGTGAGATAAATGAAATGGGGGCCATCAATTTTTAAAAAAAGAAAAAAAAAGGCATGTCTTCTTATATGAGTGTAACATTAGAGATGAATCTTACGTTGAGTATAATTTCTCACATATATATATATATATATATATAGTTTTTCACTTATTTTAGTCTTTATAGATAAACAAGTTGTGACCTTACAGTAAAAGTAGGTTAGCGTGAGAGGATTTCCAAAATAATGAACAGAGAAGTCTCATTCAGGTAACATTTTTTCAACTTCCGAAGGAGTGCTACAATGAAGAAACCAAAATGGAAAATCTTCACAAAAAAAAAAAGCGCCTTCTGTACAAATTTGCCTCAACTAATCTCATTCTCCATTAGCATGATTTACAGCTCATTCAAGCGAGAAGTGAGGTCATGGAACTCATCCTCCCTGCATGGAATTGTGAGACCACCCGTTGGATGATCATATCCGAATTCTTCTGCTGCTTTACTTAGTAATTCTTGAAATGAAGGTTGGTTCAAGTATGCTATTGGAATCACGAACCGCCTCATTTTATCTCCAACATACACTGCAAGGTAGCCTTTTGGTACTTCAACACCCTTGGAGGCTGCTTGGGTTGCTGAAAATGATGTCCGTCTAATACTGGGTATGCGGAAACCCATTGTTTTCTGTTGCTCCACACAAAGAACAATATATTGATCTCAGAGGACTTGTATAAGAAAGAAATATTTGAGTTCTTATGCTTCAGGATGCAAAATGACTTGTATTGCTTGAGAAACCAAAAACTAGTGTATATATAATTGCTAAGGGCCTCTGCAATCAAATTCCACAATATTAATGAATGATCTTGACCGGACTATGATGGGGTCTACTAAGAGACAAGGGATCACATGGTATTGTCTTAGAAGACTCTTTCAAGGATTAGGAAGTTAAATGGGAGTGCATACCCCATCTTCTTAGATAATAGCCAACTGATGACCCATTTGAAATTAAAGACACCTGCATTTGTGAAACCAAATGTTTGTTCATGCATTGTGCTGTATCTATTCCAATGGTAGACATGCTTTAGACATCTCACATGTTACTTCAGATTGACAATGCTGCTGATATACATATACCAACTAATATCACATTAATGGTATGCAACCTCTATGAAGCAATGTTTAGAGGCAAGAAGATAACCAATATTTACATGATCACGAGCCACTATGAACCACATTTTTTTATGTTCGTCAGATTCTAAGCAACACCCCGTGAAATTTGGATACATGAAGTTGGTGGCCCTCACCTCCACAAAATAAGTGTCAACATGTTCCCATTAGACTTTCTTTTGCACAGATAAGTCTGTTTTATTTCAAGTGAGGTAATCTGTTGGCATTGGGTCCAGAAGGTGGGACTTATGTTGTCTACAATAACGTGTTGCATTGATCCTTGAGAAATTAAGTGCACTAAGACAACACCATGTGACCTCTTATATGCCATTGTCTCCCATTAGGTCCCATGACTTTGATCTGATATAGCCCTCCTCCACTGATCATTCAGGTTTCTAACATATCCATTTATCTATATATATTCATGGCTGCAAGAATTCAGAACCAACTCAAATCATTCATATCCTGAAACATTCGAAATTCAAAAACTTGCATATTATTTACAAGTCTTTTTTTAGACCCTTCTCTTATAAAGTCGTAACACATACAACAATGGGTTTTCGTTTACCTGGTATCAGAAGGGCGTTAATCGCTACAAACCAAACATCTTCAAAAGTTGTGGACGTGCCAAAGGGCTATCTTGGAGTGTATGTTGGAGAGAAAATGAAGCGGTTTGTGATACCCGTTTCATACTTGAGCCAACCTTCATTTCAAGACTTGTTGAGTCAAGCTGAGGAGGAGTTTGGATACGATCATCCCATGGGTGGTCTCACAATTCCGTGCAGTGAAGATGTCTTCCAACATATAACTTCACGCTTGAATGGGCTATAATTATAAATCTCACACTGTAGGAGACTGACATAGATTAGTATAGACGTTTTGTACAACTTGAATAGGCATAATTTCAATTTGTAAAGATCATCCTTTCTCCTGAAACGGGGAAAAAAAATGTAATCAGAATGGCAAATTCATTTCTTCTGTTTTATGTGTAATGACAATGAATTCAACTACTCAAGTGGCTTCTCTGCATTTTCTGTTTATTATTAACAAATTACAATGTTCACTTCTCCCTGCACTTAGGATATTGCCAAGTATGCGCAAGGTTGCTTGCTGTAAGAAAAACCAGACTTTGTTGTTCTGATAAATGTCAAAACAGGAATAGAACACGTGATTCCTAGAAAGGGCAGTGCAAAAGTACTTTTCCTAGGACCAAGGAAAAGGATTAATTTATTTGTGGCAAAGTTAAAATATATACTATTTAAAAAATGGATTCGTTTTTTAAGTAATCACTGCTATTAAGTTATATGCACTAAATCTAATACGATATTATTTTGAGTAGAAATCATGGTGTTTTGTAATTTTAACTTATTTCAGAGTTATTATAGTCTTTATAATTATAATTTTTTAATATTTAAATTTTAAAACAACGTCATTTTGAAAGTAAATACAGATAACTTATATGCAGTAACTAGTAACCGCAGAAATAAAAATATGCATAATATTCTTATGAAATTAAAATTTTTAGGTGCCAAGGTCCAAATCATACGTGAGGTACCTTCCCTGCCTAGGCAGGTGCGCAACAATGGACTTAGTATCATGGTTTATTTATTCCCTTGAATAATACTGGCCTAGTTCTATAGCAGAAGCTTTTTCTCACAACATTGACGTATGGTTAATCTATAATTCCATATTTGTAATTTTTTTTTCTGTCTGTCTTGAAGTTTTAGATATGCCTAAAATTTTCCAAAATTCATTGATATATCAGGGCTGTATTTATCAGATTTCGGTGCTAGTTGTGCTGAAGGTCAACCGCAGTTGCTCAACAATTTCAGATATTCTCATTCTGACTAGCTCAGTGGCCAAAGTGGAAAATTGAAAAATAAAATAAAAAGGATCTAAGTGCTTTAAGAAACATAAATTTCTATATAATTAGCCTATAAGGTATTTAGCCACTCTCTTTAAAGAGCGCCTTGTATCTAAGCGCTTCGTAGCAAGACCATAGGAATAGCTCACAAACTATGGTTTGGCTCTATCAACTGGATATTTATCCAGTCACAGCAATTTAGCAAATCAACAAAGTTCTAAATTTATTTAATGATGCAACAGGGTTATAAGTAACTGTTTTTTTTTTTTTTTGTCTTGCATGGACAATATAATGGATGTACATCTAGTACTACTTGTGTTACGGGGAGGGTGCAACGTGCAACAGATCTACATAACCACTCTACCGCAGACAATCTTTACTTTACTGTCTTAGTGATTAGGAAAGTCGTTAGCTCAAGTCTGGGATCATGCCCTCCATTTACTAGTGATATTAGTCAGTAACATAGGATATTTTCACAAAATGTGGTCTTCCTTTGCCTCCAATTCCATTATTATTTTATAGCTATCAGTTAGATTTATGGTCTGTATACTAGATTCCAAGAACTGGTAGTTTATCAATATGAATAACTTATGTGATGTGTTTGGAGCCTTTCTGGAACATAAGAAGGCCATTGCATCGGCTTTGCAATTATTAGCTTTTTGGCTGTGAAGTCTCTTTCTGAAGGGACAACTATGTTGGCATGAATTGTCAAATCTCAAGTACTGGTATTTTATCAATACGAAGAACTTGTGTGATAAGTTTTGAGCCTGTCTGGAAAATAAGAAGGCCATTTACATCAACCATGCAATTATTAGCTTATTGGCTGTAAAAGTCTCTTTCTAAAGGGGCAACCAAGTTGGCATGAATTTTGAAATCTGAAGTAATACTTGATAAAAACCATTAAGACAATACCATGTGACATATCACTAGCCCTTGTCTCTCACTAGACCCCATCAAATAGCCCACCAACCATTCAATTCAGTAGAGATTTGTTTCCTCAAACTCTCATATCTATATATATATATATATATATATATATACTCATCATGGCATTCTCAACCAATACAAGTCATTCAAAAAATTGAGAATTCAGATATTTCTTTCTCACACAAGCTCTTGCATTCATTGTATTGTTCTTGGTGTTTTGCAACTCAGAACAATGGGCTTCCGTTTACCAGGTATTAGAAGGGCATCATTTGCTGTAACCCAAGCAGCTTCCAAGGCTGTGGAAGTCCCAAAAGGCTATCTTGCAGTGTATGTTGGAGAGAAAATGAAGCGGTTTGTGATTCCCATTTCATACTTGAATCAACCTTCATTTCAAGAATTACTAAGCAAAGCAGAAGAAGAATTCGGATATGATCATCCAATGGGTGGTCTCACTCTCACAATTCCTTGTAGGGAAGAAGCTTTCTGTAACATCCCGGGCGCTGACGAGGGCGGGGAGTGATCGCCGGTGCGCAAGGGCACGGACAAGGAGCGGCTCCTGGCAGGCTTCTAGGGACGGGGGTACATGAATGAATCAAATCAACACCCGAAAGAGAGGGATTCCAGAGACTGTGCTGGTATGAGACGGTACAGTTGGGAATGACTTATAAGAATTAATTGGTACTACCTATACTAACAAGATGCATCTACTTTTCGGTAGCCCGGATCGGAAGAACTCCACAGTTAAGCGTGCTTGACTTGGAGCAATTCAAGGATGGGTGACCTCCAGGGAAGTTTTCCCGGGAAGTGTGCGAGTGAGGACAAAGCACGCTGAAAAGTCTCGTGTTAGTGTGTGGGGACAGTCGTTGATCCTTGCAAGTTGTCAGGCGTTACAAGTGGTATCAATGTAACACCCCGTTCTAGAACCGGTTTGTTAACATCGCATTATGATATTAAGCGTAGTTACAATCACATTAGCTCAATTAAAAATCCGGATAAAATTTTTCATTTTAAAACATGCGGAATTTATAATGCCCAATTGCGTGATAATAACCATATTACTTTGCGGAATCAGATAAACCAAGCTTAATATCATGTTCTTATTCCATTTTTAAAACATTAATTTACTTCTTATTTATTTCCCAACTTCTACTATATTGTATATCTCTTCGTTAGCTACACGTGGTTTCAAACCGCTCCTCATTTGGAGCTCTGTAGCTCAAGTTATGACAATTTTACTAACTCAGGTGTATGCTGAAAAACTACGCGGGCAGGGCGCTTAAGCGCCCGTTCTAGAACCGGTTTGTTAACATCGCATTATGATATTAAGCGCAGTTACAATCATATTGGCTCAATTAAAATCCAGATAAGTTTTTCTTTTTAAAACGACGACGAATTTAAAATAGCCAATTGCGTGATCATAACCATATTACCTTGCAGAATCAGATAAATTAAGCTTAACATCATGTTCTTATTCCATTTATAAACCATTAATTTACTTCCTATTTATTTCACAATTTCTACTATATTGTAGATCTCTTCGTTAGCTACGCGTGGTTTCAAACCGCTCCTCATTTGGAGCTCTGTAGCTCAAGTTATGACAATTTTACTAACTCAGGTGTATGCTGAAAAACTACGCGGGCAGGGCGCTTAAGCGCCTTCCGCCTGGTTCGTCCTCGAACCACACCGTACTGGATGAGAGGCCCTGCTCTGATACCATATGTAACAGCCCCAAACCCTGTAGCATGATATTGTCCGCTTTGCCCAGCGCACAAGCACCGTCGAGCTCACGGTTTTGTTTCTTGGGACACCCCACAAAAGGCCTCACACTAGAAGAGGTATCCACACCCTTATAAGGCATGCTTCATTCCCCTCTCCAACCGATGTGGGACATTACACTTTCCTAGACCTCACTTCTCGCTTTAATGGGCTATAAATCATACTAAAGGAGACTAACATAGATTAGTTGAGGCAAACTGTACAGCTGCCACTTTTTTTATCTTTCTTTTGTGAGTGGAAAATGCAACTGAGTGAGATAGTTATGAACAGAGGTATTAGACATTTTGGACAAATTTCAATGAATTTATATACACTTCTGCTGCCGAAAAATTATATATATAGTCAGCCGTTTTTTTTTCCCCTTTGGTGTTGTGTGTAACATCCCCGTCTCGAGCCGGTTCAATTAACATACATATGATAAAACAGAAAACAGCGGAAGACTTAACTTACGAAAATACGAGTTAACTTTTTCTTTTTCTACCTTAATTCTTACTCGGGGTAAACGAAAATCGGGCAGAGTTTTCTCTATAAATCGGACAACTGGGGATTTTCCAATCCCACTCAGAAGCATTTCCTGATAAACAGTTTATACAGCATAGTAATCCAAAAGTACCAGTCATGCAGATACAATCAGATACCCATCCATGGGCGCATGCAAAATATGGCTCCGTGCCACTATCCTAATCAACATGCAATCCAATACGAAATCATAAACTGAATAATACATCATCATATGACGTGCCTGAATACCCAAATGTACATGCATCCAAGTGACAGACATGTACAAAACATATACAGGCCATATACAAAATAAAGGATCAATATCGTGATCCATCAAATGCGTAAATACTAAAAGACATCAAACACTCCAAAAGGTAGTAGCCTACAGCCACTCAAAATCCGATCTGTCAACTGCCTCAGCCACGTGTCGTGTCCCTGCCTAGTGAGGACTCACCGGGAATCTGGGCACCTGAAAATATGTCCCCAAAGAGGGGTGAGATTACAAATCTCAATAAGCTCCAGGTTTATAGAGAATTCTCCATACCCCTGGCTCACTCCTGCATGAAAGTCAGATACAGAGTATACAAATACAACATATAACAGATATCATAACAGAACAGAGCATATATCCATATCATATCAGAGATGTGCGCCGTCATTTCCAAGGGAGGACCCCAAGCGGAAATCAACGCACGTGTTCCCGAGGGAGGACCCCAAAGCGGAACCAGACATATAAGAGGCGTACACCATCAGTCCCGAGGGAGGACCCCAAAGCGGACATCCGGGTACTATACAATCAATGGCCAGAGATTGTTACAGAAATCGTATTACAGAAGTCATATCAGAGCAAAACATATCATGTTATCAAATAACTCTATATGAATGCATCTATACAAAGCATCTAAATCACAGTCATACAGTCCAACCATAGTTCACTAACCATGGTGGAGCACTCAAGCAGGAAAGACTCCTTAAACATAGAGCTTACCTCTTGAAGCTTTACCAATACGCTTACTTGTGGAACAAGTTACTTTTATCGCTTCAAGAGATTTCCGATCCTTCTCAATCCCTAGGCACACCTAGAGAATAATTTACAATGCATCAATAAAATGATGCAATACCATGATTATTTCATAAGCATACATTTTATCGCTTATTTTCCTTTCTTTATATTTTTGCCAATTCTATGCCAATACACAAGTCTAGACCTCTATACACCCGTTGGCGTTCTTTAATTTAATCAAGCATTTACTTAAGAATTTTTCACATAAATCATGCTATTTTTCTTTAAAAGTCGCGGGCATACCCTTAGGGACTCAAGGTATTTTTCAACCATTTGTCAAAGCATTTCACTTCTTAGCTCATCCATTGGTATATTAAAATGCAACACATTTTATTAGAATAAAATGTAACCAATATATATATACCCCTAAACATCCTATAGTTCAAAACATAGAGCAAGTATTTGTAGGATTTTTTCCAACTTTGGCATTTCCACCAATTAATCCATTTACACTACATTCCAACATATTTTACCTTTTCAAACATACAATAAAAATTTGCATGATGAACCCTATATAAGCCATGAAGGCCGAAACCTAGGGGGGGAAATATGATAACTCATATTTTGTTACACTTATTTATTACTCTTGGTTGGTATTTTTATGATTTATTTGAATTAAATAAAGGTCTTTTGGGTCAATTCACTATTCTAGATTTTAGTTGGGTTTAATTGATTTTCGTCATAATTTTCCAAATTTACACTACTTTTGTATTTTGACCATATCTCACTCTACAGATGTCCGATTTACTCCATTCTTGTTGCTATTTGCAGCTAACAGATAGGGCTACAATCTCTATTTCAGCTACTGAAGCCCAATTCGGACGGGAAGATGGTCGAAACTTGATCTCAAGATGACGTGTTTTGCTGGAATTTTATTTTGACGTTTGGACTTGTAATTCACATTAGGACCCAATGTGTTTAGGGCCCAAGGCCATGTTTTATTTTATTGTTTTATTTTTTATTTAGCTTTTATTTTATCTTTGGGCTGAAGTGATGAAACCCTAGCCGTCCTGCGTGACGGCTATTTAAAGGGGACTCTAGGAAACCCTTGGGAAGGAGTGTTTACAACAGAAAAGTATTTTCTCTGAAGCGTTCTTCGCGTTCTTCATCTTTCTCTTTTTCTTCTTCTTATTTCAATTATGCTTACCTTAGCCATCCGAGGCTAAGAGCCTTTTAATCAACCTAAGGGTAATGGATTCCATGGATTAGCCTTGAGGGTCTGTGTTTATTTCAAATCAGTTTTTGTTTCCCTTCCAAACTCAGATTGATATCGTGCGATCGTGGATATTCAATCTGAGGTTCGCGATTGCGATTATGGAAAGGGATTAATCATCAGATTTGATGATTAGGTTGATTGACCCTATGACCTTAAATCAAGCGGGCTGATACTCTGCGATTGTATGAGTAGAAGCATCGTCTTTGATCAAATGCTAAGCGATCGCTTAGAGAAGGTTGTCAATTGGAAATAAGGATTCTGATCCGATTGACAAATAATCACGATTCTGATATTTTTCTTATCCGAGGAAAGACGTCCATGGATCCCAAACCCTAGGTTGGTTAATTTTTAATTACGAATTTTTATTCCAAATTTATATTCTGCCTTTTTAATTATTGAATCAAAATCCAAAACCCCCTTTTAATTTTCTGTTCTCATAAGCGATTTTAACCAAAACAATTTCCTTGAGAGACGACTTAGGGTTTCCACTTTACTACAAATTTTCTGAACCCTAACTAAAGAATTAATTTTTAATTTGCGCGAGTTCGACAACTCGTGTCAAATTTGGCGCCGTTGCCGGGGAAATTGCATCGGTCTAAATCATTTTCTGATTCTTGATCATCTTCTTTTTCATCTTCATCTTCTTTTTCTTTAATTTTCGTTCTCCAAAAAAAAAAAAAAATTAAATTAAATTTTTTTGTCTTATCGTACGTTTTGTGATTTTATTGCTGTATGCTTTGCCTATGATGCATGACTAGGAGTAATACCAGTTTTGATGATTTATATGCATATGACCCTGTGATAGAGAGATCATTGCATGCTGCTAGTAGAGCTCGTAGGTTGACTTACAGTAGAGCTGTTCCTGAGCATACCTTAGAGTCTGTTGAGTCTATCGAGTCTGTTTGTTCGAGTCCTTTACATAGTGTTTATTCGTTTGGTCATTTATTTGATTCTGAAATCATGGGTGATAGAACACTTAAGCAATTGGCTGCTCCTAATGTTGATAATGAGCAGCCCTTGTGTATTCGTTATACTAATCCTGTTGTACCTTTTGAGCTTAAGTCTGGACTAATACACTTGCTGCCCAAGTTTCATGGTCTTGCAGGTGAGGATCCCCACAAACATCTGAAGGAATTTCATATAGTCTGCAGCACTATGAAGCCAACAGGGGTGGATGAGGAACAAATCAAGCTGCGTGCTTTCCCTTTCTCTTTGGACAGTGGAGCTAAGGACTGGTTGTACTACCTGCCACCTTCCTCCATTGTAAGCTGGAATGACATGGCCAGATTGTTTCTGGAGAAATTCTTCCCTTCATCCAGGGCCACTTCAATCAGAAAGGAGATCAGTGGCATAAGGCAAGCTAATGGGGAGAACATGCATGAGTATTGGGAGCGATTTAAAAGGCTTTGTTCAAGCTGCCCACACCATCAAATTCCAGACAATCTCCTGCTTGTTTACTTCTATGAAGGGCTGCTGCCTATGGATAGGAACCTTCTGGATGCAGCTAGTGGAGGAGTCCTGAGCAATAAAACACCTAATGAGGCCAAGGAGCTGATTGCTGAGATAGCTGCTAATGCTCAACAATTTGGCACTAGAGCAAGCAGCAGTGCAGTGTTCCAAGTGCAAACTTCTCCAATGCAAAATCCAATAGTGGCAGCAGCAGGAGCATCAAGCACAGATAACCAGAGAATAGAGAACAGGCTTGATGAGTTGACATCAATGGTGAGGCAGTTGGCAGTGACACAGACAGTGCAACCTTCTGCTCAACAGACAAACAACCCGTGTGGCATCTGCTGTGATCCTTCTCATCCCACGGATGCTTGTCCTTCCTTACATGACAGCGGTTCCCAAGTTGACCAGTCTGTTGCTGCAGTTTTTCCTGAAAATCCACAGCACCAGCACCAGCAGCAAAATAATCCATTCTCCAACACTTACAATCCTGGCTGGAAGAATCATCCCAACCTCATATGGAACCAGAATCAGCAAAATGTTCCATATCAGAGTCAACAAAATTTACCATTCCAGCAGAGGCAGCAGTTTGTGCCTCCACAACAGAGGCAAAATTTTCAACAATTTGCCCCTCAGCAGCCAATGCAGCAGCAGCCACCAGTGCAGCAGCAAGCTAGTAGCAATGGCCCTTCTTTGGAGGATTTAATGAAACAGATGGCCACTAGCAATCTGCAGTTCCAGCAGAGGACTGAGTCTTCCATTCAGAATCTGCAAACACAGATTGGCCAACTTGCAACATCAATGAGTCAGAATCAACAAGCAAGTGGTAGCTCCCTTCCATCACAGACAGTTCCAAATCCAAAGGGAACCGGCAATGTTAGTGCCATCTCTCTGCGGTCTGGCAAGCAACTGGAGGAACCAAACCAATCTGCTGTTAAGTCATCTCAAGGAGGTGACACTGGTTCAAGGAAGCAAAATACTGATACTTCTGATGTCCACATCCCGTTACCTTTTCCTCAAAGAGCCACTCAGTCTAAAAAGCAAGCAGCAAAAGCTCAAGATAAAGAGATTCTTGACACCTTCAGAAAAGTAGAGGTCAATATCCCACTCTTGGATGCGATTCAGCAAATTCCAAGATATGCTAAGTTTCTGAAGGAGTTATGCACCAACAAGAGGAGGCTGAAAGGAGATGAACGAGTCAGCGTCAGCCAGAATGTGTCAGCACTCATCCAGCCCATGCCCAAGAAGTGCCAAGATCCAGGGACATTTACTATCCCTTGCATTATTGGAAATTCTATTTTTCATGATTGTATGTTAGACTTAGGAGCATCCATTAATGTTATGCCTGAATCTGTGTATAAGTCTCTTGGTCTTGGTCCCTTGCGTGCTACTGGTATTGTTGTTCAGTTAGCCAACAGGAGTAGTGTTCATCCTTCTGGTGTAGTTGAAGATATATTAGTTAGGGTGAACAATCTGATTTTTCCTGCTGATTTCTATGTCTTAGGGATGGAGGGTGAGATTCCTAGTAGTACAATTATACTTGGTAGACCTTTCATGAAAACTGCTAGGACTAAGATAGATGTGCATGCTGGTACTCTTTCCTTAGAATTTGGTGATAGCATGGTTAATTTTAATATTTTTGATGCCATGAAATTTCCTAGGGAAGAGCATTCTATTTTCTATATGGATGTAATTGATGAAATGATGGATGATATCTCTACTGACTTAACTGCTGAATATCCAGAATTATCATCATTACTTGATTCTGCTCTGTCATGTGATTGTACCGATAGTAGTAACTGTACTGCTTGTGCTGAGATAGCTTTGTGTTGTTCTGATTTTAATCATGTATTGAATGATGATTTGCACAGTGGTTCTGCATTGGTGTTGAATTCTGAGTTGCCTGTTGAAATTATTGAAGGTTCTATTTCTGAGAATTTGATTGCAGGCATAGATGTTAATGTGTTTTCTGCAGAACCTGCACCCACTAGACTTCTCCCATCCACTGAGCAACCACTTAAGTTGGAAGTGAAGGATCTACCTGACCATCTGAAGTATGCATATCTGGAGGAAAATGAGCAGTTACCTGTGATAGTGGCCAAGACCCTTCTACCTGAGTGGGAGGAAAAGCTTCTGACATTGCCGATACAGGCCGACATCATTTATCCCATTTCAGATAGCTGGTGGGTCAACCCGTTTCAAGTGGTTCCCAAGAAGTCTGGAGTGACTGTAATGGCAAATCCGAAAAATGAACTGGTTCCAGCAAGAGCTCAGAACAGTTTGAGAGTCTGCTTGATGCTGTTTATTCTCCTTAGGGAGTTCAGGGAGTTCTCTTCCCTCTGTTTCTTTTCTTTCTGTTATTTGCATTTTTTTTATTTTTCTTTTCTTTTCTTTCTTTTAGTTTATGATTTTTCATAGGTAGATTTTCCTTTTCTTTCTGGTAATTATTGAGTGGTACACGGAGTAGACATAGATCACAGTGTTTGATAGCATAAATCTGTTAGGCTTTGATCTCGATTCTTGGATTACAACTACCTGTTGATTGATTCTGTGTTGTTGATTGCATGACTTGGTTTACCCTTGTGAGGTTTTGAGCCCGCATACATGGCATATCTTCTGGCCATGCTTTCTTTCTTGTGTGTTTCTGCTCTTGATTGTTGTCCTCTAGAACTTGCTCTTGTTCTTTTTGAAACTGCATTTTTCACTTGCATGCATGAATATGATTGAGGCATTCTTTCTTTTCTGTACCCACTTTAGCCAGATAGCCATCCCTTATATTATTATCCCTTGGTGAGCCCCTTTGAGCCTTTATATCTTTTATTTCTTAAGCCGCATTACAAGCCTAAGTGAAAAACCAATTAATTCCACGCCCTGGAGTTTTACTGAGCATTGGTTTCATTGTGATGTTGTGTTTAAGTGTGGGGGTTTGCCCGAGACGGACAAAAGTTTAAGTGTGGGGGGTGACCATCTGATTCATTTCTGCTATGTGGTTTTACTTCTTCAAAAAAAACAAAAAAAACAAAAAAAAAAAAACAAAAAAAACAAAAACAAAAAAAACAAAAAAACAAAAAAGAAAAAAAAAGAAAAAAAAAGTGTTTATCTTTTCAGTATCTTTGTTTTATGTTCTTAGTTTAGTTCTTAACTTTTGCTCTTTGTAAAATTCTGGGTTGTTTAGCTTTCTCTTCCATATTCATCCATACCTTTACCTCAGCCCCATTACAACCCTGCATAAAGCCCTCTTGATTTGTGCATGCATGTGTTATGAGCAGTGGAGAAGTAGAACTTGAGCAAGCCTATGGTAGGATGATTTTCTTGAGTTGATTTGAGTGATATACTGAATTAACTGATACACTTGAGAGAAAAATTGAGAGCATCTTGTGAGGAACCATTTTTGTGCAGTTAGCAGTTGCAGTTGAAGTTAGCAGGTCTTGTGATTTGAGATTAGGGAATTTTTGTCCTGATTGATTTACCTGTGGAAGACTTGTGATCTTTGTATATTTTCTGTATGCTTCATAGTTGTTAGAAAGGATTGGTTGTTCTTAGTCTTTGCTTTCAATTTTAGTTTGTTTTTGCCCATATTTTGATTAGTGTGGGGGAATTTGATAACTCATATTTTGTTACACTTATTTATTACTCTTGGTTGGTATTTTTATGATTTATTTGAATTAAATAAAGGTCTTTTGGGTCAATTCACTATTCTAGATTTTAGTTGGGTTTAATTGATTTTCGTCATAATTTTCCAGATTTACACTACTTTTGTATTTTGACCATATCTCACTCTACAGATGTCCGATTGACTCCGTTCTTGTTGCTATTTGCAGCTAACAGATAGGTATACAATCGCTATTTCAGTTACTGAAGCCCAATTCGGACGAGAAGATGGTCGAAACTTGATCTCAAGATGACGTGTTTTGCTGGAATTTTATTTTGACGTTTGGACTTGTAATTCACATTAGGACCCAATGTGTTTAGGGCCCAAGGCCATGTTTTATTTTATTGTTTTATTTTTTATTTAGCTTTTCTTTTATGTTTTGGCTGAAGCGGTGAAACCCTAGCCGTCCTGCGTGACGGCTATTTAAGGGAGACTCTAGGAAACCCTTCGGCAGTGAGTGTTTACAACAGAAAAGTATTTTCTCTGAAGTGTTCTTCGCGTTCTTCATCTTTTTCTTCTTCTTCTTCTTATTTCAATTATGCTTACCTTAGCCATGCGAGGCTAAGAACCTTTTAATCAACCTAAGGGTAATGGATTCCATGGATTAGTCTTGAGGGTCTGCGTTTATTTCAAATCAGTTTTCATTTCCCTTCCAAACTCAGATTGATATCGTGCGATCGTGGATATTCAATCTGAGGTTCGCGATTGCGATTATGGAAAGGGATTAATCATCAGATTTGATGATTAGGTTGATTGATCCTATGACCTTAAATCAAGCGGGCTGATACTCTGCGATTGTATGAGTAGAAGCATCGTCTTTGATCAAATGCTAAGCCTTCGCTTTGAGAGGGTTGTCAATTGGAAATAAGGATTCTGATCCGATTGACAAATCAATCACGATTCTGATATTTTCTTATCCGAGGAAAGACGTCCATGGATCCCAAACCTTAGGTTGGTTAATTTTTAATTACGAATTTTTATTCCAAATTTATATTCTGCCTTTTTAATTATTGAATCAAAATTCAAAACCCCCCTTTTAATTTTCTGTTCTCATAAGCGATTTTAACCAAAACAATTTCCTTGAGAGACGACTTAGGGTTTCCACTTTACTGCAAATTTTCTGAACCCTAATTAAAGAATTAATTTTTAATTTGCGCGAGTTCGACAGCTCGTGTCACCCACCTTTACTGTTTTCACTCCACTAGTTCCACTTTTTCCTCTGCTCTCCTTTAGAATTCCTTTTTTTCTGTCTGCCAGTTTCCAACCTACTAGACTTTATAGAAGGACAAGGACTAGAGATTTCAGAGTTACCTCATTTATCAGCTTTACTTCCCTCTTTAATCACAGCTTCTCCACCAGGCTCAACAATAGGCTTCTTAGCAAGATTAAACTCTTCCTTAGGTTCAGCCTGAGGTAGATTTGGATCAGAACTCCTAGCCTCTCCCATAGTGATATCCACTTTCTCTATCACATGTTTCACCATGTCAACCGCAGCTCCTTCTTCCTCTCTATGAACCTTCTTCATTGGAACAACTTTGGTTTTATCTCCTCTCATATTTCTCTGAATAACCATCCAACTGCCGAAAGCTTCCTCCTCCTTAGGCTTCTCCCTAGAAGTTTCAGCTGATTTTGCTTCCATTGGTTTCTGGTTTCCTGAATCTGTTTCCATTTGTTTACCCTGCTCCCTGATCTGGTTAACCATACACTGGTCTTTCCTGTGGCCATACATGCCACACTGAAAGCATATTAAATGCAAGCCTTCATAACCCACTTGAAACACTCTATCTCCAATTTTAAACTTCGACAAGAAGCTTTTCCTTAAATCCACCTCCACACAAATTCGAGAAAACTTTGCTCTCTCAGTAATGACATTATCTCCTAGCCCATTCCTGCGAAGGGAGTTCCTATCTACTTTAAGAGTCCTTCCAAACAGGTTACCAATTTTCCACAGGTAGTGAGCCGTATAAAATTCAATAGGGAGCCCAGGTACCCTTATCCATACCGCCAGTTTCTTAAACCCTCATCATATGGATCAAAAAACTGACGCCATCTCTAGACCACAACGTAGTGATCAGCCACGATCCATGGAACTTCCTCCAACACATGCAAATAGTCCCCTTCATCATGGAATCGCAGAAGAAGATAACCATTATCCAGATCTATCAGCTCATAGGTCGAGACCAGATTCCATAGCCTCTGTAACCTTGCCATTAAGAATCGAGCCCCAATCCTTTTCCCCAACAGTTTCATAATTAGGGCCTTCCTCCATTGTTTACAGTCTTCCTTATGTTGGCTCTTAGAATATTGGAGTGATGGACAGAGTGGATCGTCCACAACACTTTGGACCAGATCCTCCTCACCTCCGTCTTCCTCTTCTTCCCTTCATTGGATCGCAATCCAATCCTCTTCCTCGCTCTCCGAGTTATTATCACCACCATTTAACTGGATTAGCTTGTCTCTGTATGAGACGAACTTCTTACCAGGAACCTCTTGCATGAGCACCACTTTCTCAGGGATGATGGTTGTGGTACCCTCACTAGCTCCAACTTCCTACTTCTCCAGCATTTCATCATCCATGGCCTCATCAACCATCGCCTTACCTTTAGGCTTCTTCACGCTTCTCTGGATCAGATCTTCCTCCTCTGCCGTGCGCTCACGCGCGCCACGCACACCATCGTCCTCCGATTCCATCTCAGACTCTCCTTTCTCTCTCTTACTTGAATTATGACAAATACACAACACAGCATTTTCCCAATGTTAGCAATAATAAATTCAGAAAAAAATTAAATGATGAATGAAAATTTCATAAATTATAAAGAAAATGAAGAAATTGATCTTAGAGAACTTCTTTATATAGATATGACTCAATCGGATTAGTCTAATAATAAATAAACTAATGAAGAAATTAAAAATTAAAGAAAAAAATGAAAAAAAGAAACTAAATAATAAAGGATGATAGATAGTAATTCTTGTTAGATACGTCAGTTAAAGAAAAAATACTAATTAAACGTATTATCACTCCTAATTAGGGGTGAAAGTGGGATGGGCCATGCTTTGTCCCGAAATGCCTAAGCCTACGTCAAAAAATTTCAATTTGGCCTGATCAAAGCCTAGTACGAGTCAACTGTTAGCCTGATTTGGCCCGTTTATGAAAAAACAAATGGCCTTGCCTAGCCCGTTAGCCTGTTAATATTCAACTTCCAAGCAGAATCATGAATCAGCTTTACAAAATACTCAAATTATGTTGTTAAACCAAAAATCACAATTTCAACGTCCAAACAGAATCGTGTGAATCACAATAAAACTCATACAATATGCATTTAAGTTACTTTCAAAAGCCAAATGTTCAAACTAAATAACATATATTTCATCAGATCCAACAAACAAATCCATACTATGTAAATTAAAATAACTACATGAATCCAACAAACACATTATGATGCTTATAGTAAATATAACCTCTCCCAAAAACCTTTTAATATATTCATATACACAATCTAACATGCTGAGATGTTGGTTCCTCTTACATAAGAAATAAAGTCAAATTTCTATTAAAATATAATCGGATATATCTATTGTTTTTTCTCGAAGGCATACTTATTCTATTTTATTTTATTTAAAATAAATAGTACAATATAGGCTGGTCTGTAGGCTTATAGGCCAGGCCTTGTAAAAGTGGACCTACGGCCTTGTTATTAAACAAGCTTTTTCAAGGCCCAAACTCGACCTATTTTACAAAATATAGGTCTGGCCTGATGTAGGCCGAGCCGTAGGCCCCTGTAGGCCAGTCCGGCCAGTTTCACCCCTTCTCCTAATGAAAGGAAAATGATGGATGGAAAGAGAGAAATAAGTTGTATTTGTGCTTACGGTAAAGTTTTTTTTTGTTACTTATTATATAAAATAAAAGAAAAAACTAGCGAGAAGTTAACTTTTAAAAACTAACTTTTTCATTTATTTTATGGAAAAAATTATTTATATTATCAGTGTAAATTTTTTTATACTATTATGCAATAATATAACAATATATTATTATACAATAATGAAAAATATTTTTATATTAACAGCATGTGAAATTAAACTAAAAAAAAAACTCAGAATCGACTTCATCATATCAATAATTAGGTAAATTTTAATAATTGAATTGTCAGTGATGAATAATAACAAGAAAACAGCATTTTTAATGATAGAAAGGTCACTAAGCGGTTGATTCCGTTCCATAAGAAACGATAAATTAGGGTTAAGTATATAACATGACATGGTTCTGTTTTCCATGAAAGTCAAATACAAATGATTATTATAACCATCGATTTATCTTTTTATAATTGTGATATTCTCACATGATCATGTCATGTTTTTTTCACATTAGATTATCCATTTCCAACTACATTAGAGATTTGGTCAACAAATTAATATTTTGTTTTGTTTTTTTGTTTTTAGTTTCTTTTTAGACTAAATCAAACTGCTGCAAGCCTTCAAAATGAGTCTGCCTATTCGGACAAAAGTGAAGTTAACAAAATTAAGCAAGCGATGCAAGAGCTAATATTCCATAATTATTTTTTCATGAATATGGGGAAACCATTGTTACTTCTTATTCAACATGATCATATCATGTTAGAGGATTCTATTCATGCAAAAGTAAATTAACGGTGATGATTTTATAACTACACATTCCAATATATTTCCTCTGTTCTCAATCTCTCATCACCATTGATTTACTTTTATATGTTTATAATTCTCTTACATGACGTAACACATGAGAGGATCCACTCTCATATTTACTTATGAATTTGAGTATTTAAAATTTATAAATAATAAAACAGTAACTTCACATATTACAATTTTGTTTGATAATTTAAAAGTCTTTCAAATTTAAAAGAATATCTTAAATAACATACTAAATTCAATTATATGTTTTATAATTATTAATCTTACATAAATGTTCAATTTCCTTCCCCTCTCACTCTATTTACTTTTAATATTTTAAAAGGAGATACCTTGTTCCTTAAAAGTTTTAACCTATTTATTTACTTATATAATCTCTAATGGATTAAGAAAATTGTAAACAAATTAGAATATTTTCATGCTATTAATTCCATATCACTCCTATTCTATATTTATTTTATTATCTTTAATCATTTTATCCACGAAATTTCACTGTCTTAAATCTCTTCCTTCTATTCCTCAGTCTTTTCTTTTAATCGCTGTATGGAAATATTTGCTCATGCATCTGGTCTAAGTATACTGCATATTTGTTAGAGTATAATATAAATCATTAGACCATCATCTAACAGCTTAAGTTTTTGAGTTGAATTGGTTCTTTACATGGTATCAAAGTCTCGTGTCCTGAGTTCGATCTTTACTGCCTCCCACTTTTTTTGTAATGGAATTTCTTTCTTCGCACCGGTAGGTGGACCTATGCATCGTCCACCCTTCAAGCCCAGTGGGCTCTCGTGTGAGGGGGCGTGTTGAGATATATAAAACCATTAATGTAGCCTCATCCAATAGCTTAAGCTTCTGGGTTGAATTGGTTCTTTACATGGTATCAGAGCCTTGTGTCCCGGATTCGATCCTCATAGCCCCCACTTTCTCTTGTGGAATTTTCTTAGCACAGGTAGGTGGGTCTGTGCATTATCCACCCTTCAAGCCTAATGGGCTCTCGTGCGAGAGGGCGAGTTAGAGTATAATATAAATCATTAGACCCTCACCTAACAGCTTAAGCTTTTCGGTTGAATTGCTTCTTTATAATATTACACAACTTCTGTAATGTCTAGGTGCATAGTTATGCAATTAAATTATGCTCAGCACATGGGGTTCGTTTGGATATAATAAAAAATAAAAAATGGTCCAACCAATGATAAGGTAAAAAAAGACTAGATTGAAAGAATATATATTAGAATGCTCTAAGTCTTTAGAGAAGGAATAATTTAATGTAAATGACCGGTCTGCCATGGAATAACCTATTCTTGTGCATTCACAATTGGCAATGACTAGGTAACAAAAGTGACTCGGAAATGTGCAAAGTCTATCTTCCATGAAACTTTCATTATATGACAGGGCTGCTTCTTGGAACTTACCTACCCTGTCGATCATCAAAGGCCTAGAACAGACTCCTGATCTAATGGTTTTTTTCATTCCTTAGTGCATAGCTGGTTTATCACTCCATCCCAATTCAAACGTAGGAATAAATGAACAATTATTATAGACAATTGTTTGCAGAGTGCCCTCCCTTTCACCTCTCTAAGTATTAAGTAACATGCCATCAAACTGAAATACAAATGATTACAGACACTTAGCTTAAAGATCCAGGCTAGGTACAACTAGAGCTAAATTACCAAAAAAAAAAGAAAAAGAGAGAGAGAGAGCTAAATTACAAGAGATTTGCTAAACAAATCATTAATTTTTTCGATTTTATTTATTAGAATAAATCAAATTATTAGCCTTCAAAAAGATTCTTTCCTAAACTTATATAACATCAGCTCTACAATATTAAGCAACTGTTGCAAAGCATAATATTTACGGGGTGTTTGGAAGGAGTTTTTTTTTTGGATACCTAGGAAAATGAGAATGAATTTTCAGGAATACCATGTTTAGTATCATTTTTCAAAACATTTATCTAGAAAAGTTAGATGTCCGGTAATCAGTTTTGTATGTAATTTGTGGAAAAAATTTATTGTTAGGTGTTGCGAACACGACAAGTATACCGGTTGTACAAATAATAAAGTGATTAAGTAAGAGTATCGTTCCCACGAGAACTAAATTCAAGCAATAGTTTTGTCGTTTTTATCTAAGTTAAATAATTCAAAAGTGATTTCGGAAGTAACCAATATTTAATTAAAAATCAAATAAAGATGACAGTAAAAGAAATTAATTAAAAAGCTAATTCGAAATAAGAAGTGAGTTTAAAATCAAGAATAAAGACTGTACCCAGGATGCACTTTACCTCCGACCCTCCCTTATATTCCTATATTGTATTTTATAATTAACTAATTGGTTTGCTCAGACAATTCATTATTTCCCTATAGATTAGTTGAGCCCTAATGTCTTAGTGATTTCAACCCTTTAACCCTAATTAGAATTCTAGTGTCTTAATAATTTCTCTTAAATTAAGCATTAAGCACATGAATTATAAATCTGCAATCTATGTAAACCAATGTCTAGGTCATGCACAAATTGTTATTCTACCCTTATCCAGATTAAAACCCCAATATGTCTATTGTGAGTCATAACCCTCAAAGCCTTATAATTAGAGTGGCCAGTTCTAATCAGGATATGGAAAAATTAACACAGGGAGAATAAAGCAAACTAACTAATTAACTTATAAAAACAATACAGGAAATATAAAGAATTCACAATGGGTCCATGATCCCAACTACAAAAGAAATTAGACAGACATATTCATGTCTAACTTAAACAAATTCAAATAATAAAAATTGTTCATAAACGAAAAAGAAAAGATGAAGAAGAAGGAAGCTCAATGGTCTTCAGTCTTCAACTCTGGTGGAATCCTGATCTCCAGCGCGAGTCTCCAAGAATTCTCTCAATTCTCTGATCTTCACAATTCTCTCCAGCCAAAGATCCTGTCTCTGGGAGTCTGAGTCTATATTTATAAACTTTGTACCCTTGCTTAGAAATCTTGATCAAATCGTCATCGTGTGTCTTGGTCTAATCTTTCTCTGATTCTGAATGGGATACGTTACTGATTTTTCCGTACCTCCCACTCTACTAGCGTGAATCCCACGCTGATAGCGTGGGAGTTTTGTTCAAGTTACGAAGTTAACTTTTTTCCATTTACTTAAAAGTCTTCAAACTTTATATATATATATATATATATATATATATATATATATATATATATATAATTTTTTGATATTGTAGAAAAATAATTATCTTATGTTGTAATTATCTGATAGCGTGGGAGTTTTGTTCAAGTTACGAAGTTAACTTTTTGTCGTTTACTTAAAAGTCTTCAAACTTTATATATATATATATATATATATATATATATATATATATATATATATATAATTTTTTGATATTGTAGAAAAATAATTATCTTATGTTGTAGAAACAATATTGTAAGTGAGACCTATAGATAAGAGAAAGAGAAAAAAGAAGAAGTGAGATCCACCCTTTTTGTGTGTATGTAAAAAATTTAATTATCTCATATAAAATAAAATAAATATAACCCATATATATTTGCTAAGTCTGTGACAGTTAGGGGTGAAACTGGGTCGGACTGGCCTGCAGATGCCTTCGGCTCGGCCTACGTCAGATCAGACCTGACATATTATATTTCGTAAAATAGACCGAACTTAGACTTTCAGAAAGCTTGTTTAATAAAAAATTCATAGGCCTACATACCGGCCTATATTGTACTATTTATTTTAAATAAAATAAAATAAAATAAGTATGTCTTAAAGAAAAAATAAAAAATATAAATTCAATCAATTACAATTATTTATAACTTAATTATATTTGAGTATATTTTAATAAAAATTTGACTTAATTTAGTGACTGTGGTTTGTGGGTTCCAAACACTAAATTCCATTCTACAGAGAATAGTTATGGTAATTTAGTCAGGTTCAAAATGTGAGTAATTTTAAAAAATAAGTCAGAGTCAAATCATCACTCAGCTCCAACGTGGCTTTGCCACTTTCACTAAATTAAATTTGATCTAGTGATCAAGAATTTAAGTAGTTTGTATTAAATTATGTTATAAATTTTTATGTGTAAAAAAAAATACCATTATATAGATGATTTGACAGAGACATTAGAGATTAAGTCAACAAATTATTTTTTAATTTGTTATTGGACTGAATCAAATTTAAAGCCTTCAAGAAGGTTCGGACAAAAGTTAAGTAAAATAAAAATAAACAACAGAAAAGGCTAAAATTTTATAATTAATCGTGGACGAATGACGGGTTGCCGATGCCGCCATTAAAGTAGATAAAAATATTTCGTATAAAAAAATAAAGGAAAAGCGTGTGTCATTTTTTTTTTTTTTTGATAACATAGCGTGTGTCATTTTAAAGGATATAAAGTGGTGTCATTTTAAGAGAGAGAAAAAGATAGACAAAGGAGAAAAGAGAATTGACAAAAAAAAAAATAAAGGTGTGGGTTCCACCTCTTTATGAGAGTGAAAGAATATAAATTATATCATTTAAAAAGGTAAACATTTTCTCCAAAAAGATAATATGCCCGATTTGTATCTCTGTTTTTAAAAGAAGTTTAAATATATTTATTTAGGAAAGGTTATATTTATAAATTTTGTTTACGTACAAATTACACTATATACTCCTGTGAATAGACTTGGTTAAAAATGTACTCCTAGGAAGACATAGTGTAATTTGTAAGATTTTGTAAACAAAAAATTTATAAATATAACCTATCTCTATTTATATTGATGAAATGATAATAGAAATAATTATAAGAAATTATAAAAAAATGTTACAAATATAATATATATATATATTATATTTTAATTTTTTTAAACATAGATATATATTGATATAAAAAAAATATAGATATATGGAGTAGGTGAAGAAAATTATGCTAAAAGAAAGATAGATAAATGGAGTAGGTGTAGAAATTTAGGTCCACCATACTGCATGGCTATAAAAGAAGAAGATCATATTAATTGCCATGACTTATGGGGGTATGTCTTCCTCTACCGAAAAGCTCGATGTATTTCTTAGCTTTCGAGGAGAGGACACACGCACCAACTTCACTAGCCATCTTTACGCTGCTTTAGAAAAGGAACCAATCGATATATTCATTGATTATGATATGCCAAGAGGAGCAGATGTTTGGCCAACACTTTCCAAAGCGATCCAGAACTCGCGCCTATCGATTGTTATTCTGTCAGAAAATTATGCTACCTCAAAATGGTGCTTGGAAGAACTCCGGGAAATACTCGAATGCAGAAAGCATCTTAGTCAGATTGTTATACCTGTTTTCTATCACACATATCCCTCAGACATAAGGAGGCAGACTGGCACTTACGGGAGAGCATTCGCAAAACATGAGCCACGTCCTGGAGACAAAGACAGCGAGTCCATCAAACAAAAAGTACTTAAGTGGAGACATGCTCTCTTTGAAGCAGGCAATATCTCTGGATGGCCATGTCAAAACCATACGTATTATCTCTCTCTCTAATAAACTTTTGCAGTTATATATACGTGTGAGGATCATTTTACACCAACGTAAGTTACACTCTTAATTTTGTCCATTCATCTCACTTATATCTAGGAGCTCTAATTTTTTAGTAATGTGAGCCATTTGATACAAGTGGATCAATAGTCAAGATTGAGTGTAAGACTTCTAACTCTTACATCGGTGTAAATATATATATATAAGAAATATTATTCTCCTTTCATATAAGATAACTTCTCTCATGCTCTCTCACTTCGATTTTCGCACCCCACATTTTTCTTTTTTTCCCTTTTCTTGTAATGGTGGGACCCACCCATTTTCTTTCTACAACATAATATAACTATCTTATGTGAAAGGAGAGTAATAAAATCCTACATATATACAGGGATAGGTTATTCTACCTACTTCTTTTTCTGCCTACCACTTTTCAACACTATTAGATCAGAATTTCAACTACCTTTATCATTTATCTCTCCTATTGAGATTTTGATGTTGGAAAGTGATAGGCAAAGGTAAACATAAAAAAGGTAGGTAGAATAATCTATCTCATATATATATATATATATATATATATATATATATATATATATATATGGGCTTATCGTTTCTAAAGTCACTTGAGATAACTTTATCTACGTCCACTAAATTATAACCGTATAAAGATGAATCAATGGTGATAAATGAAGAGAGAAAAAAAAAATCATAACCATTCATAGGATAATCAATTAATATACGGAAATAAATAAACAAAATGACGTAGTTTTAGGATGACCGGAGATAAATATATCTCAAATGACTTGAGAAACGATAAACCCTATATATATATTTATATATATATATATATATATATTAGTAACTTCCGGGCGCTTCAAGAATCAATGACTATTCCCACACACTAACACGGGACTTTTCAGCGTGCTTTATCCTCTCTCACACACTTCCTGGAAAAAAAACTTCTCAGGAAATCACTCATCCCATAATTGCTCCAAGTCAAGTACGCTTAATTATGGAGTTCTTCCGTTCTAGGCTACCGAAAAGTAGATGCGTCTTGTTAGTATAAGTAGTACCAATTAATTCTTTTAAACTATCTCCAATTGTGCAGTTTTGTACCTGCACAGTCTTTGGAATCTCTCTCTTTCGGGTGTCGATTCGATTCATCCAAGTACCCCCGACTGGAAACCTGCCAGGAGCCGCTCCTTCTTTGTGCCCTTTCTCACCAACGATCACTCTCTGCCCTCGTCAGCGCTCGAAATGTTACAAAAACAAAATTCAAATAGCTATGCCCAAAGTTATCTCCAGCAATATAGGGTATTTTTGTAAAATTAATAGGGAAAACTTCAAAAACCTCCCTATAAGTTTTTTCAATTATCACTTACCCCCCTCACAAATTTTTTGAATCATTTATCCCCTTATTTAATTTTTTGTTATCACTTACCCCCTGATTTAAAGTTTTTCTATCATTTACCCCCCCCCCCCCACTTAGGGGGGTAAATGATAAAAAAACTTTAAATCATGGGGGTAAATGATTCAAAATTTTGAGGAGGGGATAAATGATCATAAGAAAAGTTATAGGGGTTTTTTTGAAGTTTTCCCAAATTAATAATACAATAAAAAAGTAAAATTTCTAAATTACCCTGAGTTTTTTTTAACCCAAAATATTGTCATTTTTTAGTTATAGGATATAATTCTATCTATTGTTGCGAAATAAATAATTCCCCCCCCCCCCCAAACACACACACACACACGAGACAAGATATTCTTATATTAGTGTAAGAACACCAAATCACAAGACAAGATATTCTTACATTAGTGTAAAAATAAGAAGTCTTACATCAAATCACACATATATGAGGCAGGATATTCTCACATTGATGTAAGAATAAAAAGTCTTACACTAAATCTTGATCATCGATTTGTTTGCATCTAACGGTTCACATTTGCAATAAAACAAAACCGTTAGATATAAATAGGATAAATAATCAAGATTCAACGTGTAAATTACACTGGGATAAAATAGTCCTTATATATATATATATATATATATATATATATATATATATATATATATATATATATATATAGAGAGATTGAGGGTTATTTTACGATTACATACCCATTGAAGTTATTCAAAAAATTTGTTTTAAAATCATTATCACTATCTAGATAAAAATTAATAAATTATTAAAGAAAATGTCAATATTGTACCTTGAAGCCTTGAGCCAATGAAGTAGTCCATATAAAAGTGAATTGAGAAGAGCATGAGTGAAAAAGAGAAGGGTTGTCATTTTTAAAATGTCAAAATAGCCTCTAGTAAGAGAACATACAAAAATGAATTAAGACTTGAGAGCATAACAAAATAATTGCGTGACTTTTTTAATTGCATTTTGCTCACTCCATCTCAAGCCTTTCGATTTGGGAGGGATTCACATATTATTAAGCTATAGGCCATTGAGTGTATTACTCTTAAAATACTCATAATTAGGTTACTCAAAATTATGAAAATCTTCTTCAGATCAATTTCGCAGTTTTTTCTATGCAAAGAAAAAAAACCAAATCGTGAAATCCCAATCTGTCACAGGAATCCCGGTCGCAGAACCAAAGTTCTTGATACCAAATGTTAGAAATCGACAATCACACAAAATCGACAAAACAGAAAAAAAGAAAAGAGAAGAGAGATTGACACAGTGATTTATCCTGGTTCACCCAATGTAGGCTATGCCCAGCTTGTCTGTACTCTATTCACATCACCGCTTGTTACAAGTCATTTGATTTACAAGGAGAATATAAATAGGATTAGAAAAACCCTAACAATAGCTATTCATGGGCTCAAGTCCAAACTACTAATATAAGAATATTCACCCCAGTTGTCTTTCTGCTGACCCCGATAACAAGGGTCATCATCAGTATGCGAAGTATGAGTCATACCCAACAATAATTAGGTTATGAAAATTATTAGCTTGATTGAGTATATGCTCAAAATAGCCGAACTTATGGACACACTCGAGGAAAGAGTAATAGACCGCACCAACCCACAAAAATGAAACGGTCCCTCACTAATCAGTCATCCATAGTATCAAATAAATCATTTTTATCTTTGGTAAACATACCAAGAGCTATAGTTATAATGATCCTCCTATTCAAATATATATAATAGGGAAAAGTTCAAATACCCCTTATGGTTTCTCTTTGAAGCACTTAGTCCCTATGCTTTTTTTAATCACTTATACCCCTATGTTTTCTTCTTTAATAATGTTAAATTTTTTAATTAATATGACTATTCTACCTTTTTTACAAAAAATATACTTGAGCTACCTTGTGTCATATTCTTCCCCAATTTGAAGGGTTTTTTTTATCATACAATGAAAAATAGTCCCTAAAAACCAGCATCATCTCGCGTACGAGATATTTGAGGTGGTGTACACGATGACACTTTTGTGAACCATCACGGCATTGAATAAATTTTTGGTGCTACTATTGCACCAAGATTTAGTGCACCTCACCAATAGGAGTATTACATATCATAAGAGAGAGAAAAAATTGGCAGAAAAAAAACCTTTAGTTGACATGTAATAATTCTATTGGTGGGATGTGTAACATCCCTATCTCGAGCCGGTTCAATTAACATGCATATAATACAAACAGAAACAGCGGAAAACTTAACTTACAAAAATACGAGCTAACTTTTTCTTTTTCTAGTTTAATTCTTATTTGGCGGAGACGAAAATCGGAAAGAGTAACCTCTGTAATTCGGACAACTGGGGATTTTCCAATCCCACTCTCAAGAGTTCATGATAGACAATTTATACAACATATAAATTCAGAAGTACCAGACATCCAAGTATAATCATATACCCATCCATGGGTGCATGCATAACTTGGCTTCGTGCCACTATATCTAACAACATGCAATCCAACACGTAAACATAACTTAATACTACATCGTCATATCGGCATGCCTGAATATACAAATGTACATGCATCATACTGAAAGACATGTAAAAACATATACAGGCCGTATACAAAATAAAGGATCAGACATCATGACCCACAAAATGCTAAAATACTGAATAACATAAATACACTCCAAAATAGTAGTAGCCTACAGCTACTCAAAATCTGGTCCGTCCAAACGCCTCAGCCACGGGTTGCGTCCCTGCCTAGTGAGGGCTCACTGGGAATCTGAGAACCTGAAATGATGTCCCCAAAGAGGGGTGAGATAACAATCTCAATAAGTTCCAGGTTTATAGAGAATTCTCCATACCCCTGGCTTACTCCTGCATGAAAGTCAGATACAGAGTATACCAATGCAACATATAACAGATATCATAACAGAACAAAACAGATATACATATCTCATCAGAGGCGTGCACCGTCATTCCCAAGGGAGGACCCCAAGCGGAATTTAACACAAGTGTTCCCAAGGGAGGACCCCGAGCGGAACCAGAACATGTCAGAGGCGTACATCATCAATCTCAGGGAAACCCCAAGAAGACATCAGTGTACCATACAGTCAATACAGAAATAATATCAAAACAAGTCATATCATGTTATCAAATAGCTCTATATGAATGCATCTATACAAAGCATCAAAACAGTCATACAATTCAACCACAGTTCACTAACTATGGCGGAGCACTTAAGCGGGAAAAGACTCTTTAAACATAGAGCTTACCTCTTGAAGCTTTTCAAATTCACTTACTTGTGGCACAAGTTACTTATATCGCTTCAATAGGATCCAAACCCTTTTCGGTCCCTAGGCACACCTAGAGAAGGAATCCAAAACAAAAATCAATAAAATGCTATCCTGCCTAGATTTTACATAAGGCATACATTTTATCGCTTACTTTCGTCTCTTTACATTTTTTTCCAGTTCTATGCCAATTTACAAGTCAAGACCATGCCTTTATAATTTCCTTTAATTTAACATGTTATAATCGTTAATGTTCCCTAAATTAACTAAGTATCCACATGAGAATTTCAAACCTATTTCATGCCATTTTTCTCCATAAGGTCGTGGGTACACATAAAGGGAACCAATATTTCTTTCAACAATTTTTCAAGTCATTTCACTTCTTCAACTCATCAATCTCATGCATTGGAAACTCCACATTTTATTAAGATAAAATGTAATTTAATCTATTCCTAAAATCCCTGTATAGGTCGAAATCTCCAAGGGAACTTCCAAGGATTATTTTCTTTTACACATTTTCTTCACTTAAATTGCAACTTGCACATACATATGCATGTATCCACTATGTCTAATTAAATTTTGAACATCAAACCCCTCCAAAGTCTCACTAGGCCGAAACATAGGGGAGGGGTGCAATGGAATTTTTTTCAATCCATCATCAATTCCAATATTAAAATCAAGGTTTTTCCCACCAAAACACATTCTAAATTTTCACAGCTTAAATCATGAAAAACAAACCATAGAAATAGAGATTTATTACCTCTAATCCCTTGTACAAAGCCTAGAGAGCAACCTCCAAGCAAGGCTCCATCAAAAACTCAACTTTCCACCCTTGATGAATAGTAAAACAAAAAGGGGAAAGAGAAGAGCTCCTCACACATGCAAAATCAGCTCAAACTAAGTGGTGGAATGGTTTCATTGGGTGGTTTACTATCGATTTCATGTAATGGACTTTGGCATTTGGAAGATTGTGGAGGGAGAAATCAAACAAAGAAATTTTCAAACCCTAACCCCCTTTGGAGAAGAAGAACTCGGGTAGGAAGAGAGAGAAGAAAGCAAAATCTGATGTGAATAGTGATTTTTAAGTCACTTATGGTTTTTAAGCACATGTGGCTTTTTATCGGATGTTTTTTTTTCGCGTATTTTCACTTAAACTGACCCGAAACTAACTTAAAGCTACGGATATATTTTTATTTTTCTGAACTCATTTACATTAATTTTTATTTCCTAGGGAACAATATTCATAATTTTTTTTTTTTTTTATAACACAATATTCATAATTTACAGTATGGTTTCTACACCGTTTTTGACGAAATGCACTGTGAATCACTAACTGTACATCGTTCACTTACGAAACTTAAAACTTATCATTCTTTGGCCTATTTTTACTTGTATGGCATATATTAGACTTATTCTTATTTCATCAATTATTTGTTTCTGGACTCTACCGGTTGCTTTGACAGCAGTACAAAATACCCGGTAGAAAAACACTATTCACGAGATTTTCACGAAAAGTGCCAGACTATACAATTTTTCGTTCTGAACTCATATTTGGCGTCAGAATTGTCAAATTATGTCTCTAAAATTATTTTGCTCATTTAAGCTCTACCGGTTAATTCACAAGACTGCAAATTATCCGGCAGAACTCACTGTCATAACTTAGTCATGATTACAGTCAAAATACTCGCAATCACGCTCCGAATCTAATTATGGAATTTAAATCCTTATTTTAAACTTCTAATTAAGATTTACCAGTTAGAGTCATTATATAATATACTGAATCTTTGGTACAACAGTAGCACCAAAGATTTATTCCACAGGCCAAATAAAACAAGCACAATTGGCTAAGATGATGTATTAATAATGTTAAAATTTTCAAACTTCCTCAAATGAACTTCAAATTTTCAAAATGAGACCGTGAATACTCTTAACCCCCAGTCATCCGTACCAGATCCTAGATCCTGGCCCTTTTGTTAGAACTACATGAGTTACAGTTTAAGGTCTACTACGGTTATCCACTCACAAAACTAGGTTTAGTTTAAAAGGAGTTTTATTTCAAGGGCTTAAATACTATGCAATTTAGTGCATTCTTCCCTCTAGTCCTACCCCAAAATTACTAATGTCTCTACAATTTGGTAATATCTACTCCGTGCTGTTATTTCTATGGGATATTATTATGGAATTAATCAAGTTTAGTTAACTTAAAATTTCTTATTCGTGGCGTAGAAATACTATTAATCCTATAATTATAAAAATAGTTTTTGCATCAAATTTTGCAAGTAGTGTCACGACAAACACAGTATCTCCAAATGAGAATACTTTGATACCGGTGTCAAATTTAAAGTTTGACACCTTATTTTAAAGCTATTAGATCAAAAAAGATTAACGACTCTAATTTGTAAACATGTGACACAATTGGTCTTTTTTGATCTAATATGAGGTGTCAAACTTTAAATTTGACATCGGTGTCAAATGATCCTACCTCATATATATATATATATATATATATATATATATATATATATTAGGCTTTCAAATAGTTTTTGCTATAATATTTTAATAATATAATATTGTCACATGATTACAGGTAGAATGTAGTTCAACTGGAATCTACCCTTGTCATTATCAAGGGAATGTCGTTATGTGTTAGGTATTTCATCCTTCACATATGCATTTCTCATTCTCCCTAATCAGGTTCAATAAAAACTCTTTTTAATCAAATAAACAGTATTATTTATAATTAAATAATAATAAGATGCACTAAAAAAATTTATACTAAAAGTTCATTAAAATTAAATTCTTCGGTGGTCGGATAGTAGATATTAATAGTTTTTTTAGTTAGGTTTTCCGTTCTTGATAAATTCAATATTTTCTTTTGTCTCGTTGTTGGTCTTTTATGCTAGGAACGAGACTCAACTCATCAAGGACGTTGTCAAGGATGTACTAGAAAAGCTGGAACTGAGGGAACCTGAAGAGTTAAAAGGAATTATAAGTGAAAAAAACTGTAGAAATGTTGAATTATTAATGAAAAAATTTCGAGTAATTGGAATTTGGGGTATGGGCGGAATAGGTAAGACGACCATTGCTAAAGCCTTGTTTGCCAAACTCTTTCCCCAATATGACAGCAGCTGCTTAGTGCTCAACACAAAAGAATATTCACTTGCTGAGCTTCATTTTGAGCTATTTAAGGAAAAAATTTCCAGATCTAAATTTGTAGGATCCACAATCGATATGACGAGGCTCAAAGGTAAAAATGTTTTCATCGTACTAGATGATGTGGATGATTCAGATCAAATTAAAAATTGGTGTGAAGGGTATCATGGCTTAAGTCAAGCTAGTAGACTCATTATAACAACAGGAGATAGGCAATTGCTTGAGGAAAGTGTTGATTGGATATATGGGGTCGAGGAATGGAAAGCTACAGAATCTCTTAAGTTTTTTTGCTTAGAAGCCTTCAAACAAGACCATCCCATAAAAGGTTATGAGGGTCTCTCAGATTTGGCAGTTGCTTATGCAGGGGGCATTCCATTAGCTCTTAGAGTTTTGGGTTCTCATCTTCGTAACAAAGATATTGAATTTTGGGAAAGTACTTTCAGAAAACTCAACATCAGTCCCGATGAGACAATTCAAAACGTGTTAAGAGTGAGCTATGATGGATTAAAACATAAAACAGAGAAGAAGATTTTTCTAGACATAGCATTTTTTTTCAAAGGAGAAAAGAAAGATCACGTCATAAGGATATTAGATGCCTGTGATTTCGAAGCAATTAGTGGAATAGTAGTCCTTGAAAACAAAGCTTTGATTACTATTTCAAATAGCAATAGAATACAAATGCATGACTTGCTACAAAAAATGGCTTACGAAATAGTACGCAACGAAGATGAAGAAAACCCTGAAGGACGTAGCCGTTTGAGGGATAGTGATGCTTGTGAAGTAATTAAAGAAAACAAGGTAATGAAAAGAAACACACACTTTATTTAAGACATGTTTTTTTGTAAAGAAATTGTAGCTAATTTGATACCGTTTACTTTTATGTTTTGTCAGGGGACTAAAGCAATTCAAGGCATAACATTAGATTTGTCTCAAATCACAGCTTTACCTTTGCGTGCTGACACCTTCACAAAGATGAAAGCCTTAAGATTTCTTAAATTCTGTAACCCCTTGGATCAGAATTATAGTAATACATACCTCAAGCTTCCTACAGTTCTTGGGCCATTTTCTGACAAACTGAGGTATGTTGAGTGGATTGGATATCCTTTTGAGTCTCTTCCACGACGTTTTTTTGCTGAGCTGCTTGTTGAGATTCGCATGCCGCACAGCAATGTTAAACAACTTTGGCAGGGGGTGCAGGTAAAGATATAAACCTACCTATGGTTACATTTTTTTTTCTTTTAGGATTTTCCATTTTGATGTTTTCTTTTACATTGTTACAGAAACTTGGTAAGTTGGAGGGAATTGACCTAAGTGAATGCAAAGAGTTGGAAAAACTTCCCGATTTGTCTGAGGCGTCAAGACTTAAATGGGTGAATCTATCTGGTTGTAGGAGATTGAGTTATCTTCATCCTTCTGTTTTATCCGCGGATACACTTGTTACTTTGATACTCGATAGGTGTACAAATCTTAAGAGTGTTATAGGCATCAAACATTTGCAGTCTCTGGGGATTATCAGTGTCAAGGGCTGCTCAAGTCTGGAGGAATTTGCAGTGTCTTCGGATTCACTACAAAACTTGGATTTAAGCAATACAGGAATTCAAAGATTGGAAACATCAATAGGGCTTCTACAGAATCTTAAGTGGCTTAATCTAGAGGGTGTAAGACTCACGCATCTTCCGAATGAGTTATCTCGCCTGAAATCTCTTTTGGAGCTGAGACTTTCTTGCCGCGGATTAGTAATTGACAAAGAGCAACTACATGACCTGTTTAATGGGTTACAGTTTCTACAAATACTACATTTGAAGGAGTGTAGTAACTTGTTTGAACTCCCTGACAACATCAGCGTCTTATCAAAAACATTACAGGAATTAAGGCTAGATGGATGCAATGTGACAAAGTTGCCTGAAAGCATCAAGGATCTTGAAAAGCTTGAAATTCTGTCCTTGGAGAATTGCGAGGAGCTTCGGTGTCTACCAGAGCTTCCACCTCTCATCAAACAGTTGTATGCAGTTAACTGCACGTCATTGGTGTCCGTGTCAAATTTAAAGACTTTGGCAACAAAGATGAGAGGAATGGCCAAACACATTTCATTCAAAAACAGCTTGAACTTGGATGCAGATTCACTCAAATGTATTGTGGAAAGCCTACATTTAACAATGATGAGTGCAGCATTGGACAATGTGTTAGTAAGAAGACTCCGTGTGGCCATTCACAGCTACAATTATACAAGTGTTGAGTTTTGTTTACCAGGAAAGAGAGTCCCAAAGCAGGTCAGTTATAGAACAAAAAAGACCTCAATTACCATTGAACTTCCTAGCCGTTCCAACTTGCAGGGCTTCATTTACTCTGTGGTTCTTTCTACAGCCGGTGAAATGATGAAACATGGCACTAAAATAAAATGTGAATGCCCCTTGGCAGAAGGTACAAAGGTTACATGGCTAAAGATTGATATCACGGAATTCAAGTCGGATCATGTTTATGTATGGTATGATCCATTTCATTGTGATGGCATTCTCAAATATTATAAGTCAAAGGTTCGTTTTGACTTCTTCGTTGCAAATGATACGGGGGAAGTTGATGGTTCGATCTGTATTAAAAAGTGTGGAGTACGCCTCATAAGTGTTTCAGAGCTGCACAATGTTTTATTGGAATTGGACTTGGATTCAGATAAGAAAAAGGAATTGGAGAAGGGAATTGAGTTGGAAACAGCACGTAGCATGAACTTGACATCAATTGAAAGATCTCATGAGATGGAAAACGATGGCTCCTGTGAACTGTCTTCTAGTGATGGAATAGTCGGTATGCAACTTATCATTCTCTTTCACTGATGTCTTATATATTATGCTTATTTGCTTTTTCCTTATTCCTTCATTAAATCAATTGCATTTTTTTTTTTTTTAAATTATATTAATAAAACAACAACAAAAAAGATTTACCATAAACAATGGCTCCTGTGAACTGTCTTCTAGTGATGGAATAGTCGGTAACTTTTATGTTCTTGATAATTTCTTTTTTAAGTCTTCTATTGTAGTGTCTGCTAATAACTACTCATAAGTACTCACTTTCAATTATTATGCTATAAAACATACTTTATCTGTTCTGTTGCATAAGGCCACCTACACACTTTCAAAATATAAAGTGTGGTTTTCCTCCAACAGGTTTCAAATCTATTCTTTTCACCAACTTAATATTTTTCATATTGTCTTTGGTTTCAGAATCAGACTCGGACTCAGATAAGGCTGAAGCAGATTCGGGTGAAGAAGGTAGTGGTAGGAAAGACCATCATTCTAATGTGGAAGAGAGCGTCAAATCCACGCCCAAGGAAACCAAGGAGTCTACAAATGCTGTCAGTCAAGGGATCTTTTATTTTGACAAACTTCGTCCATATTAAAAATACAAACTATAACATATAATTGCTTATTTAGTATTAATTTTCTAAAAATTTTAATTATTACGTTGTGCAGATCAAAAGCGAAGGAAACAATGGAACGCCAACTAAACCTAATGCTAGATTGCATGAACCTGCTGAGATACAGTCGGACAAAGAAAATGAATCTGAGGAAATATCAAGTAAGTAACTTTATTTGTGTATAAACCATTACTAATAAATTATACTAACATTTATCTACCCAAAAAAATAAATAAAAAAATTATACTAACATTTTGGGCTTTCCTCCAAAGGGTAGGTATACTTTTACTTCTTCAGCACAAACAAATATTTTAAACAAGTTTTACAAACTTTATATTAATGGAGAATATTTTTTATACATCATTTCAGAAATAATTTAAAAAAGGGGTCCAGAATAATAGTAAAACTGCATTTTTATAACTGAAAGGTCAAGGGGATAAAATTTGGAAAACAACCTTATTGCATACAAAGAATGCCCTTACCTCTAGTTTCACATCGGGTTTAATGGGAAATGGTTATTTCATAAATAATTTAAAAAAAAAAAAAAATGAGTCACCTATTTCTCATCTTGTTGTGAGAGGCCTCTTCATACAGAGCATTTGCACCTATACTTTGGGTTTACTTTTTTTATTGTTGAATTTACTCGTCTCCTACTGACAATTTCTCTTCTGTGTTTAGTCACAGAACCAAAGTCAGCGACGTTTGAATTAGAATCAGTTGAAGAAGACAATGAAAGTTGGTCTTTTTCTGATGTGGAAGAGAGCATCGAATCTACTCAAAAGGAAACCGAGACCAGTGCAGGAAGAGGTCTCAAGGAGAATACCAGAGATTCTACAAAAGTTGTTAGTTACTAATTTTTTATTTTTTACAGACTTTGTCATCTTACTTGAAAGTGTAAAAAAATATAAAACAGAACACTTGCATTTTAGCATTATTTCAATTTTCAACTGTGTCATTTTGTCAATACGATGAATAGACTATTGAAAAGGCCAAAAGCAAAGGAAATAAAGCAACGCCAACTGAACCTGGAGCCAGATTGCATGAACTTATTGAGTCACAGCCAGAAAAAGAAAATGCTTCTAAAAACAAGTCAAGTAAGAAACTTTATTTGTGTATATAAGCCGCTTGCTAATAAATTATATTACCATTTTAGGATTTCTTCAAAGGGTACACTTTTTTATTTTTTCTTTAAAAATCACTCCCCATTAAACTTCACTTCGGGAGTTAGGTGAAGATAATCCTTGTTGAATTTACTCTTTTCTCCTACTTATAAATTTCCTTCGGTGTTTAGTCATAGAACCAAAGTCAATGGTGGATGAACCGGAATCGGCTGAAGAAGATAATGGGAGAAAGGACCATTCTTCTTACGTGGAAGAGCCCGGATATATTCACAAGGATACCAAGACCAGTGCAATAAGAAGTCTCAACACAGAGTATATAAAAGTTGTAAGTTGCTATCATTTATTTTGAAAAACTGTCATCATACTTGAAAGTGTACAAAAAATATAAAATATAATACTTGCATTTTAGCATTATCTCAATTTTCAATAATGCCATGTTCAAACATGATGATTTGATTGTGCAGGACAAAAGCAATGTAAATAAAGGAGCATCAACTAAAGAAAAGTCAAGTAAGGAACATTATCTGTGTATATACCATAATACTACCATTTTAGGTTTTCCTCTAAAAGTACTTCTTTTAATTTTTTCTATTAATTCCACAAAAAATAATTTTAAAATGTCTTCCAAACTTTTTATTAGTAGGTAATATTTTTTATTCACCGTTTCATATAATAATTCAAAAGAATTTTAGTCACGTATTTCCCATCTTGAGAATGCATGTGCATCAGTTTATGGATTTAGTTTTTTTGTTGAATTTATTAATTTGTTCTCCTACTTAGAATGTTTCTTCTTTGTTTAGTTACAAAACCAAAGTTAGTGATGGTTGAACTAGAATCAGCTGAAGAAGATAATAAGAGTAAAGACCATTTTACAGATGTTGAAAAGTGGATCAGATCTAGGCGCAAGGAAACTAAGACGAGTGATGGAAGAGGACGCAAGAAGAATACAACAAATACCAAAGTTGTAAGTCGCTTCTTTTATTTCGACAATCATTGTCATCATGGTTACCTAAAATTAAATTAAAGAATAAAATGTGTACAATTTCTACATCAGTTTAATGCATCTCAGCATTAAGTCAACCATGTCATTTTGTCAATATCATTATTACATTGTGTAGGTGAAAAGCAAAGGAAATGCTTCTAAACACAAGTCAAGTGAAAATAAGTCTGATTGGACTGATAATATTGAAGAGGCCAAGCATTCAGAAGAAAATCAAAATCTACATGGAGAAGAAATTGTTGATCTGATTGTTGAAGGACCATACCATGCAAAAGAAAGTGAACCAATGGAAGGTCAAGACGGATCCGATGAGGACCATGTTGCTAAACTTTACAGCATCCTGTCGGCAAAAGCAACCTTTTCTACAAACGATGTTGCTATAAGAGAAGCTTTGCATAATCTTGAAAGCCTATTGGAAAACTCGCTTGAGTCCATTCTTGGTGATGTCGAACTACAAGGACAATTACATATGTCTTTGAAATGCATACAACTGGCATCTGAAGAAAAAGTTTCTCCAAATGTTGCGAAGCTTGTTGAAAGCATGACATCCTCTATTGAGGATCTGTTCAAAGACTTTACCTTTACTCAAAAAGTAGTCGAAGAACACACTACCCTTTTGCAACAAAAAGAAAAACTTTTGCAGCTTGTGAGAGATACTAAGAAACGGCAAGAATTACTGAACAAAGAAACGAGTCAGTGTGAGTTTGAAACCGAAAGTCTCGACAAAGAGGCTAAAAAGCTGAATGAAAATATTCAGATTCTTCTTGAGAAAAAGAAAACTGTGGAGTTGAAAAAAAACAAGTTGAAGGAGACCCTGGAAAGATGTGACTTCGAAAAGAAGAAACTGAAAGATGAGGCTAAGAATCGGGTACCTGAAAGCAGAGAGCTAATAGTGGCGATTGAGAAATCTGAATCCTCATACGCTGCTGCCCTGTCAAAGCTGAAGAAGTTGAATAACAAATGGGAAGGTTTCAGAACAACTTTTGCAGAGAACAGTGAAACACTGCTAGCTCATAATACTTGGTGGCATAGAGCCGAAGTACTTTTGATTATATTCATTTTTATTTTTAATATTTTTTTGTCTTACGTGGGTTCTGAAGTTGATCTTCACTCCGAGTAATGAGTTTCCCTTTCCAAAAGTGAACCCATAGAGGAGAGGTAGAAGAAGATTGTCATCATATCAGGATAGTTCGTAACAGATATGCTGAAGAATTTGGTGAAAATTTGTTTCATATTGCGTAGTGTTTTATAATATGTATTGTCGATACTACCTGATTTTGCTTTGAGACAATTCCTATCTTGATATTGTCCAGCTGCTTTTATTTTGATACGAGTTCTAACCTTTGATGAAATCGTCCGTTTTTATTTTGGGAAATCATTGTCTCATTTTACATGTGGTGGGCCCCACCACATCAGATAACTATCTCATATTGTCTCACATTAAAAGTTGTGCCACTATTTTTTTTTAATATGTGATGGGTCCTTCCACATCATGTATCTATAGTAAGAGATAACTGTCTTCTATAACATGAGAAAATAGAATCCCTTCTATTTTTATGTAGGAGGCAGCATGTGAAGTTTATTATATCAACTTCCGAATTTTTACACCACTTCTTCATTCCACCCTGAACTTTAAAAAAAAAAAAAATTGGCATATTAAATTATTAAGATCAGACTATGTATTTGGTGGATTTCGATTTACATAAAGAGTTACATTTTGTTAGTGAGTGAGTTACATAAAATGTCTTTATCAGGCAGAGGAGTTCCAATAACATTCGTCCAAACAAAGCATTCAGGGAAAAATCTTATCCCTATAGGTTGTTTAGTGATCAAATTGGTTCTGAATACTTTCCCATCAGCTGCTACAAAGTAAGCTGTCTCCTTTTTCCATGCTTCAGGAGGTAAGATCTTAGGATCCATCATTGATCTTGCAGCACCAGTATCCATATAGGCAATCACCTTTTTAGGATGACTGAATTTGGATGACAAAATGTGGACTTCTACATTGGGCTTAGGTATTTCTGGGCTTAAATAGAACACTTCATTTATGGCAAAAACTGGAACATCACTATCAGAAGTTTCTGAATCAGAGGAAGAATCTTGTAGTGCAAAGACAGTGTCTTCATCTCCAGTACTTTGTTCAGAATACAAGGATTCTGCATCTCCTTCGTCAAGATTTAAAGCAGTTATCATTTTTACTGCTTTATCTGACTTGTTAGGACAGTTCTTTGCGAAATGACCTTTCTTTTTGCAAATGAAACACTTCTGGCCTTTGTTCTTCCCACGAAACTTCTTCTTCTTGAAGAACCTGTATTGTTTCTGGGACTTTTTGCCTTTTCCTTTCTGATTGTACTTCTTGAAATGAGATTTCTTCTTCGTTTTGCAATCACAGTTGCTATCTTTGCATTTTATCTCCAGATAAGACTTCTTACAGGCTTGAGTATATTTTGACCTTTGATTCATCAGATTAGTCATATACTTATGCTGCTTGCAGAGTTTGTCAACCGCTTCAAGAGTTAGTTGGTGAATTTGACCCATAGTAAGGGTTGTGAAATCTTTGCCTTGAGCAATTGCCATCCTTTTCAACTCTGGTTGAATCTCTTTAGGAAGAGAAGCCACATAAGTATTTTTGAGGCTTGGATCATTATATCCATTCAACAAATAAAATCTCTGCATCATTCTTTTAAAATTCTTTTCTAGATCTTTTATCTTCAGAGAGCAGCATTTCATTTCAAAAAATTCTTACCTGTTCTTCTTGTCAATAATGTCTCCATCTCCAATGAATTCCAGGTGGAAGACTCCGAGCATACCAGAGGAATTACCTACTTGGTGAAGTTGATTTTGTCTGACACTTCCCAAGTTATGATACCATTCCTTGAGAGAACCAACCATTCTGGAGCAAAACTCTTCCATCACTTTGTAAGGGTCAACATCAACAGCTAAGAGTTTGGTGTCAATCCATGCTCCAAATTCTAGGAGTCTTTTTCTCCATAGATTTGGAGAAATGTCATCAAGTGTAAACCATGGTCCTGCTGCAGTTGATTTCTTAGTTTGATTTCTGCTAGTGGCATCACCTGCTTCAGATTCTGGGGAATCATAGTACGATTCAACTCTGGATTCTGCAGTTCTAACCATCAATATGCTAGTAATATCAGCATAATTTGCTTCTGAAAGATCAGAAGAATCTAACCCATCAGATTGTTCTTCATCAGAAGTTTCAGGAGTGGTTTCAGGAGTAGGTGTGGTTTCCGGAGTTTTATGATCTGGTTTTGGTTCAAGAATACTCTCAGAGGAATCAGAACTCTGAGAGGTTGAGGAAGACTCTGTTGTTTCAGAGGTTTGGGATTCATCTGTGTTTGGGGGCGCTGTTTGGATTATAGCAAATTGGTCTTTGAGATCTACAGTCTCAAAAGTTCTTTTTGAGGAACTGAGATTATTCATGTGGTCTGTAGAGTCTGAGGATAAGGAAGGAGTTGTTTCCATTTTAGTTCTAGATGAATGTTTTCTAGAGGTAGAAGGTTATTTTCCTCTTTCTCTACTTTCTCTTTCTCTTTTAGGCTTTTGATCATAAGGCTGGCTAGTTGGAAAAGTCCAAGGTTTTGGAGGATGAGGGTTGGTCCAGAACTCTGATGGTTTTTGGAAATGAGAGTAATAATTTGGCATAGGAGGTGGCAGAAATGGGTTATAGCTCTCTATTGGTTCTGGCTTTTGCTGGGATCTGATATTTTGTTCAATGATTCTCTCCAGATCTTGGATGTCTGCTTTCAGCCTCCTTATCTCCATATCTCTCATATTAGCTTCTGGAGTAAAGCCTAGGTTTTTGATCTCTTCTTCAAGCTGGACTATCTGTTGCATGTTCTTCTCATAATGCTTCCTCATCTTCTTTGAGAGATGTTGCAGACGATCCTCAACTGTATCCATCTGATTGCAAATCTTTTCAACCTTAGTGTCAAGTCTTTTCAGAATAGAATTCTGGGCTTGAGCATTTTCAGTCTGCCAATTGAGAACTTCTTCAGCTTAACTTAATGGCTTCAACTTTCCATCTGTCTGGACTTCTCCTTGATGAATCACAGGTTTGGTGGCGATTTTTGTGGTTGGGTCAGTATGTCTTTCCAAAGGAGGAAAATCATGTTGTGAAAACATCATACAAGGTATGGGTTCAGGCTGGTGTTTTGGGGACCAGGTTATAAGGTTAGGGTGTTTTGGTGGTTCAGGTGGAAGTAATCCTTCTTCTCTCAGGATTTCTAAACCTCTTTTATAGATCCAAAGAGGCTCAGGTTTTTTCTGTATCTTAAGACCTACCCATGGGCCATTATCTGGGTCAGATCTTCTTTGGACAGGAGGAGGTGGTTTGCAACGTCGCCTGCGACTCCTTGTATCTTCTTATTCATCTACTTCTTCATCTGAAGTGTCTCATGTGTGCATCCAACAATCACACTCAGGAAAGAAAATTATTATTATTATTTTTTTCTTTTCATATGATCTACAAATTTTTATATATGTATAAGAAAGAAAATTATTATAATAAACATTAATTTCAAATATAAAACTCATCGTTTTTGTACACGTGGAAAAAAAACAATGAAACGCTGGTCACGCAGCCTGTGATAGTGTGCACATTCCAGCTACTGAGTGGTGGGACTATGGAGCAGAAGGTGGAAGTGTCAATGTGTCATAAAGTAAAAATCTTATTCTCTATACTCAACTCCACCTCAAGTACCTACGTGTCACCAGTCCAATTGTTACGTTTAAACATTGGGAAAAGTGTGTATAATTTTGAAGGATGTAAAGTTGTGTCATTTTAAGAGAGAGTAAGAGATAGATAAAAGAGGAGAGAGAGTTGACAAAAAAAAATAAAGTTGTGGGTCCCACCTCTTTGTGAGAGTGAAATGATGTAAATTGTGTAATTTAAAAGTACAGACACTTTTCCCTTGAACATTTACTCAAAAGTAAACAAGTCAACGAACAGGAGTCAAAACGGTCTCGAGTCAAAATACACTCGACCGTATCTTACGAAGATCCCTTGGCCCTTAAAACTCGCGATTCGAATTCGAAACGCCACATCACCTTTGGAGCGGTGATCGCCGGAATATTAGCCATGTCATTCACCGGCAGCTCCAGCCAGCCGTTCGACGACGAAGGCGGCTTCGTCGGCTACGATCCCCGGCTCCAGTCACAGCGCTTCGACTCGTTCTCCAACTTCGACGCCGACTCGGTCAAGGACTCGGCCGATGACTCGTCCCCGATTTTCGGCGGCGGCGGCTCGTACGCTGCCGGGGACGACGTGTTCTCTTCTCAGGCGGTGCCGGAGACTCCTTCTCCGCCGTCGATCTACTCTGCCGCTGGGGGATTCGCCGCGTTCTCCCCCGACCAGAATGGGGAGGGCGTGGACGGAGGTTTCGGCACCTCCGATGGCCCGATCTTGCCGCCTCCGGTGGATATGGTGCCGGAGGAGGGGTTTGCTCTGAGGGAGTGGCGAAGGTAAGCGCGTGGTGGTCACTGTTTTTCACTTTTTTGCTTGTGAGTCGTTATAATGGCGATGATGTTGATGATGATGATGAATTGATGATGCAGACAGAACGCTATTCGATTGGAGGAGAAAGAGAAGAAGGAGAAGGAGATGCGGTTGCAGATCATAGAGGAAGCGGATGAGTACAAAATTGAGTTTTACAAGAAGCGTGAGGTTAATGTTGAGAACAACAAGGCTTCTAACAGGGAAAGAGAGAAGGTACATTCAAATACTCATTAAGATTGAAATTTACTCTTAGGATTGGGTCTTCTGAGGATTTCAATGGCAATCTCTTTGGTTCTACTAGATCAAATTTAATTTTCTTAACGAATGGGATAGGTTACAGTGCTTTTGATCTATGGGAGACAAATACTTGTTAAGTTGATTAATATAGAAATTGGGAACTGTGATGCATCTATCATGTATGAAATTTGTTTAGAAAATGCTGTTTTTGCATGCATCATGAAGTATTAATATGTTGGTCTGGTTAGTGGTTAGTTTTGTGCCATGAACTATTGATGTTGCCATTTGACGAAGTACTTTTTGCCATAGTAGTTAGTTGCGTCGCAATAGCTCCGCGAGCCGCGCCCTATGGGCGTTGCGGTGCCTCGGCGCGAGAAACCGCGCCTTCTCGCGGTGCACCGGAACGCAATAACGGCCATTGCAATCGCATTTGCGACTATATTACTGTCATAAGGCAAAATGTCAATTTTATCCTAAATTTAAATGTGTAACAAATATTTAAGGGTTTTTTAGTCTATTCGCATTTCTCTTTGTCACTTCTGCTATCTCTGCCTTTAAACAATGTTTCTTTTTGTTATTATTTCTGTCATATATCTATTCCGCTATTTCTGCGGCCGTAACCCGCTATAACGCTATAGCGTTTTTCGGGGTTGGCTGCGACATGCTGTAATCCGCATTTGATAACTATGCTTTTTGCTAAATTGGATACAATGCAGATCCAGTAGGATACCTATGTGGAAATGCTGATATATATTAATTTATTAGTTTTCTTTTAAGATAAATTAAGAATCTAAAAATAGATGTAGCAGTGTATAGGCTTGCTCTACAGATGCTACATGACTAAGATGATTAGGGTTCTCTTGATAGTAGTAATGAATTGAGAACGAATGAATGACAATGGGTTTAATACAATGGTATCTAACCAGGATGCTTCTGTCGAATATTTGTCAGCCTTATACAGGAAAAGTACAGCGTACGTGCAGTTACAAAGGATAAGGGCTGTTGCCCTATTAGATAAAAAAAACCCATCTGCATGTCTTCCTACTTGATAACAGTACAGGAGCTGGACTCTTTTCTACAGAATCTAAGCATAACAAACTGATATTCAAACCCAGCTCTTTTCTACAGAATCTAAGCATAACAAACTGATATTCAAACGAATAACAAACAGGTATAGATTGTTGCTATAAACTTAGCATAATAGGGTTTTTGTCCATTTGCATTGCACCCTTAATGAATTTTTATCTCGATTTCAAAATGACGCTGATGTTTAAATTAATTGGAAAATTCAATGTGAAAAGTGAAGGTGGAATAATATGATGTGATTGTAACTCACTTCATTCATCTCTAGTTTCCCTTTTACCAAGTAAAAACACTCCCCATTAAACCCCAACTACCGAGGGTAGAGTGAAAGCAATCTTTATACACAGCTTTACCCTTGCATATATAAAAAGAGACCGTTTCTCGGATTCGAACTTGTGGCCTTTCAGCCACAAAGGAATAACTTCACTGCTATTCCAAGCTCGCTTTCTTTCCCTTTCATCATGTAAGCGAAATGAAAATTATTAATGAATTTCACATTTTTCTCCTCCTTTATCAAGCACCAACTAGTTGAAATTTAAAACTCTGCATTCACCTCCCTCTTTTTATTTTTCACCTTTCACACAAAGCACTATTACTATCAATATTAGAAAACGTTCACTTACAGATAAACAAGTGAGAAAAAGAATTTTTTGGTCCAATTTACGAGAAAAGCAACAAGGATAACTCAAGTGGGTGTAATAAATGCAAAATATAAGCTACATTAATGAGAACGCTAAAATATTTCCCTACCGTACTCAGAACTATGAGCCATCTGAAAGGGAAAGTACTAAATTTTAAGTCAAACATTGTAGTCGTCGTTGAAGATAGTTTTTGTCCAACATATGTGATTGTGTAAATTATTGGGTGTAATAAATGCAAAAGATAAACTATATTAATGAGAACGCTAAAATATTTCCCTACCATACTCAGAACTATGAGCCATCTGAAAGGGAAAGTACTAAATTTTAAGTCAAACATTGCAGTCGTCGTAGAAGATAGTTTTTGTCCTAAACATATGTGTATTGTGTAAATTATAGCATAACAGGGAGAAATATATTAAGATTGTATTGTGGATGAGGATTTTTACAAATACTATTTGTATTGTGCATCCAGCAAGTAGAACACAAATACAAGTATCTGATATCAGTTATCAGAGTGTTGATGTATAAAACCTGATCCTTAGTGCAAGTAGCATATTTTGTTATTCTAATTGCCCATCCTTGCTTCAAGCTTAGGCAGTTCTAGTTCATTGTTTGATTATCGTTTGGTTGAACTTACAGCGTGACCAACTCCAACAAGATTGAGAATCACATGTTTTCACACTTTGATTTATTTACAAGCTTATGAAGAGTTAGTATCTTGCTATTTGTTCATATTCTAAGATTTTCAATTGTACTGATAGGGTCTTGTATTGTAGTTCTGTTTATATATTCACCCTCTCTTTTTTTAAGTATTTCAGGTGGTAATTTGACCACCTATCTCAATTATATATGACTATGTCAAGCGACAATTATATTAGGATTTTATTTGTTAATTTTTAAGCCAGTGTGTTAAATATACTACTCGCTGCATGTAATCTGGCAGCTATTTTTGGCAAGCCGGGAGAAGTTCCATGCTGAAGCTGATAAAAACTACTGGAAGGCAATTGGTGAACTTATACCCCATGAAGTGCCTACTATAGAGAAAAGAGGGAAAAAGGACAAAGAGAAGAAGCCTTCTATTGTTGTAATCCAGGGACCAAAGCCAGGGAAGCCAACTGAACTATCAAGAATGCGCCAAATATTATTGAAGCTCAAGCATAATCCCCCTCCACATATGAAGCCTAAGCCTCCCCCATCTTCAGAAACCAAAAAGGACGCTAAAACTGGACCTCCTGATGGAGCTAGTACAAGTACTACGCTTCCCAAGGTTTTGCCTGTGGCAACTACTGAGGCTGTTGCTGCAGCTTGAGGTTGGTGCTATTTGCCCATTCTACATGTGAAAATCAGTTTGTCAAGTTTGTGATGGCTTTGAGTTTGTGAGCATGTTAGTGTAGTTTGTGTGGTAGTATTTTATGTACAAAATACCTGTATCGGTTTTGGTTGTGTAGTCTAGTGGTATATTCTCCTCCTCAGAACTTAATTTTGGCTGCAAGTCCTGTTTGTGGCCTATCTACATTATCTTTGCGATAGACATTTTATAAATACGCACTGCTTTTTCTTTGAATTTGGCATCTTTTCCTGATATTGTGATTATTGACACTACGTATTTCTCTTTAAAAGCAATCCTTCACGAGGATCTCTATCATTAAACCGTGAATGGTTAGTGTTGCCCAACGGTAGGGTGCATGATAATGATTATGTTCTCTGGTATTATTTTAAAAAGAAATAATATATTATTTATGTGTTTCGGGAAAAAATATATTTGATTATGTAATGGTGGCAATATTTACTTTTACTTTCTAAGGAACTGTTTTGTTATTGTCCATGTCTTACTTTACTGTATATGACATAATTAACTTACCATCCAATCAATCCTATAAAAATGTCCTCGATAAATTGCAAATACTATAAATCTGTGTATGTATATTCTTGGTAGCTATGTTTAACTTACTTTCCTCTGCCTTTTCTTTTTAGTAGTGGCAGAAAACTCTAGATACACAAAACGCAGGACCCACTGTTTTTCTTAGTTAGAGGGAAATGGGGAAAGGGATGTATGCTCGTCTCGTGTTCTTAAAATGCAATGATGTATATCAATGAGCTTCGGACACCTCTGCCTTTTGTCAAATGGTATTTTAAAAAACTTATCCGTATCAACAATTTTTGGACATTTAGGTTTAGCAGTAAATGATCAATATGATACCAATTCAAAAACAAACATTATATTTGCAACAAACCATTGCTGAAAACCATTTAAGCAGTAGTAGGATTGTGCTTCTCCACTGTTATTATTGCAATTGGTAAAACCAACTCAAACAAGCATTGTTTTTATTAGTGACTGCTGCGGGATATAAAATATGTCTGCGCGCTAGTGAGAGCTAGTAGTCCCGTAGCCCCCAAAGTTCCCATGATCTTCCATACTGTAGGGATACGGTCGTACATCAAAAAATGGTACAAGTTTTTGCACCAGATTTTCCAGTAGTAAACAACAATTTCAAAGATACGCCTGCACTGATGCCAAATGAGCATATGCCATTTTTTCCACGGTTTCGTGTGTGTATTGAGGTTGGCGCAAAGCTTATCATAACTTGAATCCATGTGCTCAACACCCTCAGAGATTTTACGAAATAGTATCAGCAAATCTTCCTTGCTCTTATTGGCATCATTAACTATAACTCCTTTCTTCTCAAGCAGTTCAATGTCATGTGCACAACAGATCAAACCTTGGAAGAACAAAGCATACGAAGTCAATTTGCATATGTTCCCATGTCTGGTCTGTTCCCAGGCAATCAAGTTCCTCCATTTGACTTCTGTTGTGTCCTTAATGTGCAGCGGTGGGATTTCCAGCACCCCATTGTTTTTGTTAAACTGTATCGCAAAGTCAAAGCGTTCTATAGGGTTGTTGGGCTGATTAACGTTTCCAGGATTGGCAGAATTGTTGGGCTGATTAACGTTTTCAGGATTGCCAGAATTGTTGGGCTGATTAGGGTTTTCAGGATTGTCAGAATTGTTGGGCTGATTAGCGTTTTCAGGATTGGTGTTATTTGGGGGAGCTATAGTAATTCTACCAGCTTCAAGCCTCCAAGCACAATGCTTTAGTTCTTGACGAGCTTGCCTTGTGACATCTGTACTCTCGTGGATGGTAGAATTGTTGGGCTGATTGGCGTTTTCAGGATTGGCAGAATTGTTGGGCTGATTAGCGTTTGCAGGATTGGCAGAATTGTTGGGCTGATTAGCATTTTCAGGATTGCCAGAATTGTTGTGTTGATTAGAGTTTTCAGGATTGACAAAATCATTGGGCTGATTAACGTTTTCAGGATTGGCAGAATTGTTGGTCTGATTAGCGTTTTCAGGATTGGCAGAATTGTTGGGATTGGCATAATTATTGGGCTGATTAACGTTTTCAGGATTGGCAGAATTGTTGGTCTGATTAGCGTTTTCAGGATTGGCAGAATTGTTGGGATTGGCATAATTATTGGGCTGATTAACGTTTTCAGGATTGGCAGAATTGTTGGGCTGATTAGCGTTTTCAAGATTGGCAGAATTGTTGGGCTGATTAGTGTTTTCAGGATTGGCAGAATTGTTGTGTTGATTAGAGTTTTCAGGATTGACAGAATTATTGGGCTGATTAACGTTTTCAGGATTGGCAGAATTGTTGGGCTGATTAGCGTTTTCAGGATTGGCAGAAGTGTTGGGCTGATTAGCTTGCCTTGTGACGTCTATACTCTCGTGGTTTATGGTGGACAAGTGAATCAGGTGAAGGAGGTGAGCCACACCCGAGGTTGGAACCGAAGGTAGCCAAGTGCAGCCTTTGCAAGTTTAGCAACTCGGTCATCTGATTCAATGGGAACAACAGTAGGGGAAAGCTCCCTGTACAACTTCTTGAGAACAAAGAAGGGTATCTGGTTCTCAAGCAGTGCCAAATCGCTCAAAACAGACAAGAGCTTGTCTTGGATTTCGACTAGTTGCTCATTATCGCGAAGCCTGATGAGAAAATCCAACAAGAAACAGCCTTCTAGTAGCATTGCTTTGGCTAGTTCGTGGGGTTCGGATTCGATGTTTCCCCCGTAGCTTGCACGAACCATGTTGTCTAACTTCAAAATGGTTTTGCCACATTCTTCCAGCTTCTTTTGTTCTGACCGGGGCTTTGTGAGTATGAGTATGTCCCCTGGGATTTGGGGTCTTTGAAGAAGATGGAGCATGTAATTCCACTTAGGTTGTTCCATCAACAAGAGGTCACTTCTAGTTCCCCTGTGTAAGGGTCCGATGGATACAACACGTGGTATGTATGCATCCTCATTTGGCTTGCGTAATTTGTCTGAAACCTTGGAGATGCTGCTTGCCTGAACTTCTGGATGACCTATAGAACCTAGCATCAATCGAATAGGAACTATCCAACTGGTGTCAATAGCATCGTTTGGTGGTTGAGCAGCGTTTGGTGGTTGGGCACCGTGTGGTGGTTGAGCACCGTTTGGTGGGGGGGGGGGGCTCGATTTCTACGATGTGGCCTACATAGAATTCGCACCACATATATATTATATAAAGCTTTATATTCAGCAAAAGTCTGTGTGGTTGTTAGATAAAAAAAAATTGGTATCAATTACTAATTCATCGTAGTAGTGTCATATCATTCACCACATGAAAAAATTATGGATAATAAGAGTGAAGTCTTACACCAAATCTTAGTTATTAATTTGATTGTATCTAGTAGTTCATATATCTAATAAATTATAAAGAACTAACTCAACACAAAAGTTTAAGCTAAATTGTTAGGTGATGTTACATTAATGATTTTACATTTCTCTAATACCCCTCCTTACATAAGAGCTTAATTGGACTTGACGAGTGGATAATGCATCAGGCCCAGTCTACCTGTGCTAAGAAATTTCATAATATTTAATTATCAGAATAAGGGGCGGTGATGATCGAACTCGTGACACCAAGGCTCTCATATCATTTAAAGAATCAATTCAACCAAAAACTTAAGCTGTTATATGATGGCCTTTTTGATGATATATATTATTCTGTAACATAATTCAAAGTTGTTAGATATAAATAAAATCCACGATTAAAATTGGGAGGGTGACATTGGTAAACAATGTTGGGAGGGTGACATTGGTAAACAATGATCCTAACCCTCCCCCCTCTCTCTATGTGTGTGTCTATATATATATATATATATATATATATATATATATATATATATATATATATATATATATATATTCATTTTTTTGCAGTCAGTGTAGATAAGTTATCGATATTAAGCGTAAAATGACATCGTTTTGGGGGCAGAAATAAAGATATTTTGTAATTATAATTTATTTTATTATTATAATAATCTTTCTCATTATAATTTTTTAATCTTTTAATCCAAAACGACGTCATTTTTGGAGTTTAATAAAAAAAATCTCAGGCTTCAATTGAAAAGCTCGGCCTTAGAGCCTCTCAGGCTGACTTAGTATATTAATTTTTATTTTTATTTTTATTTTATATTTTTATAATGCTTGTAATATCTCTCTCTTCTCAATCCATTTCGATTCATTTTATTAGTTAAACAGACTTTTTGAATGATTTTCTTCTATATTATGCTGTTTGGATATACATTGAATTTATTAATATTTATGGAATTACTAGTGTTGTTGATTGTATATTTTGTTTGGATAAATTTTTGTTCTTATTTTTTTAAAACAGGCTAAACCAGACTTTTATTTTTGTAAATAAGTAAGGCCACAGACCGATAATTATATTCATAACAGGTAACAGGTTTGGTCATGTTGACACATTTAAACACAGACTTAGCCTCTTAAGACCAAAGCTCGGCTCAGCCCGGTCCATTAACACCCCTAATCGTAGGCATGTCTGCAACAATATTTACAATAACCGTAGAAGAGTTGATTATTTATTTAGATGAATCAATTTAATGAATTATCCATCTAGTTATATGCCAAATAATTGTGAACTTAAAGTTTAAATAATAATTGATTTGCATAATATTGTAAATAATTACAAACATTATTATGTGATTAATTGTCCCTTAAAGACATTATGTGAATACAAACCCGATATAAAAAAAATTATCTCATTAAACTCTAGAAATATGACAGAAAGAGATGAAATTTTATTTTAAAAATGATCATGAACCTAAAATTTACTAGACCATATGCTTTTGAACTTACTTTCCCCTTTAACTTGTACGTGGATGTAAATTTAATATTTCCGGTCCGCGTATTTTTGGTTCTATTATGTATGTCGATGTACTTCCTCCACTACATGCTAGAATGAATGACTGATGAAGATCACTGTAAAGAAATTACTGACCTTGAATATTTTACCGAATTGATGCTTTGGCTGATTACAGATCAGATTCAACTCTTCTTATATATGTCACAGTGTCATCCATATTGATCAGCAGTTTAATAGAAGGAATAAGCAATTTCATTGACAGTTGAATTTTCAGTTACAACCTAGAAGCAATTGAACACTTACATTCTCCCAGATAGCACTGGATTTGTATATAGATTTATATTAAGCAAATAAAAAGGTCATCTCTATATGAACATAAATTAATTGAA